TATTAAGACCCCCCCCCACCCCCCCAAGCCTAGCCCTCGAAACCTGGAAAAACCTGCCAAAACCCCGCGGTCACGGTTGACGCCGCGAGCAGAAACCAGAGTAATGCACTCGATGTCAACAGCGCTTTTTGACTTGAGATTGTGGGGCCAACTGACATCTCCAAGGCTTGCAAAAGCCGTCTTCTTTGGACATGCAAGCTCAGCTCGGTGCTTGCACCCTGAACCCTTCGAACAGCTTCGAACCATTTCTAGTTTGCCGGGCCGGACATCTCGTCAAAGTGCATCGCCGACCGTACCTACGCGCACCTCTTCTCGCACAACAACCCGGATCTTCGCGCGGAAAATCATGGTCAACGGGGCTTTACAACATGGACCCGCTTTCGTGAGGAGTGTCGTATAAGAGGCGATTCTCGACTTTACGATACTTCCACTTGTTCGCGCAAGCTCACGCGAGATCCGAAACAGGATCTCCGGAAGGGACCGAGGAAAACAACATCGACAGTTTCGTGAGTGCTGCAGACAGCTCCAGTGAAGTCCTCCAAAACCGCCACAATGAGCATATCGGTTCGAACTGTCATGTGTTCCGAACGCATTCCTGGATATACTCGACAAGTTCGGCAAGCTTCTCACTCACTTTGTGACACAACTATGCAGAATCTGCAGAACTTCCTCGACCAACAACCTTTTTGAAAATCAGAGTCATGACGGTCCGCTGCTTGTTGCTGATGGCCGGGGTGACCTCTGGGCCTCCTGCCTTCTGAGCCTCAAAGCCCGGCCTGCTGCGTGTCGGCGAGCTCCGCTTCCAGCTGTGAGCGCTCGGACTTACGAAGGTAAGATTGTGCAGCCAACCTCGGTTCTCGGACTCTTTTAAAAGGCATGGCACCTCCTGCCGAACCGCGGCTTCCGCTAATTTTGGGAAGCGACGCTTCGCGTTGACGGTCCAATTGGCCCCGAACCCTCGCAGCTTCTGCCAGGGACGACTGCATCTCTTGCTCCTCACAGTCGCAGCGGTACATCTCTTGCATCTGTAGAGTCTGTAGAAGTCTGCGACTAAAACTGCATCGAAAGGCCATGCACAAAGGACACAGCAGGCTCCAGCTGCTCACTGGCGCAATGATGGCCACAGTTCTGAGCAGCACGGTGCCAGCTCACCACAATTTGCAGCAACCACCAAGTCTGGTAAGACTGCCAGCAACCACCTGAAGCACAACGTCCGCACGCCGGCAATCTGCGGGAAGCTCGCTCAAGCCAGTGGCTTCTTATACCCCGACTTGGTAAAAGGAACGCACCAAACGAAGAAAAGCAAGCAGGGGCTATGCATGCGTTGAAGTTGGATGAATTGCCCGCCTATGATGCCGGCGGTGCGGTGCCGGTGCGCCGAGGCCGTCTCCGTGGCCTCCGCTCGCTCCAGGCCGCAAGCACGCGCCACCTGCGCCTGGACCTGAAACGAAGAAAGAGCGAGACAGAGAGAAGAAGGGAGGGAGGGAGAGAGATTGGGAAAGAGCGAGAGAGAGAGAGAGAGAGAGAGAGAGAGCGCTCTGCGGATCGCCAAGCCGCCAGGGCATCCCTCCAGGCCGACCAGGCGCGGAGCGTGTGAAGGCAAAGGCGGCGTCTGCCAGCTGCGAGCCCTCGTCTCGCTGCCAACACCCCCTGCCGCCACAGCCGGAGGGCGCTCCAACATTGGGACCTCCACATACCCCCCCCACAGCCCCACAGCCTACGTCTCCATGCATCGCGGCGTAGCCCTGTATGAGAGCCGAGAGCCCGGCCGAGCCTGCGCTCCGAGCTGTGTTGCGAGCGCCAACTCCCGTAGCTCAGCAACTTGGCCCTGCGAGCGGCCGCTTGGTATCGCGACAGCTCAGCCTCTTTGGCTTCCAACTCAGACCTGCCAAAAGACATCTCTCCAACCATCGCGCAAAAAACCCCTTTTGCTCCTTCTCTGCTCCAACCTCTGCCGGGTTCGGCGGCGCTTTTTGGCCGAGGCGTGCCAGGCCCAAAGCGCACAGAGCACATCGTGCTGCGCCGCGAGATGCCAGGTCAGTTGCACCCTTCCCGCCGCCTGGGACGCCAAGCTCGACCTTTACCGGAAGCACTGGTCAGGCTCAAAAAAAACTGAAGAGAGGGAGTGTGCTCTCCTTCATGTCCGTTCCTAGACGACAACAGCCAGGACCAGAAAACACACAGCAGCCGTCCAACTACGGCTGAAACGCTAAAGCCGAGACAACCTGGACTCTTCACGAAGCAGCTACTAGCATTGCTGAATGCAGTCACGTAACCAAGATCGCAGCGCTTCTTGAGCTAGTCGCCAGGCGTCGATCCGCTCAAGCCAAAGCAAGGTCTGCTCTGCAGCGACGTGTTGCCGCAAACGCCGTGCTGCGCAGAGCCGGCGCAACCACCGAATTTCAGCAGCGACGCCCTCCTGAAACATCAAAGGCTCAGGGCTCAAGGATAGATGATTGTTTTTCTAAAAGACAACTGAGGATTGAACACCCATGTTACCTGCGCCTGCCCTCTTTAGGGCATCCTCTTCTGAAAACCCGCAGGCGTTGAGCAGGTCTCTGTTTATGGCACTGCTCACAAAACAGCTGACCCCGAATCTGGGACCGACCTCTCCACTGATTCTCACAGAGCCTCGTGCTGGGCAACCCTTCGTTCCGCTCTAGGCATCCTCTTGCAAGCTGACATGGCAAACCCCACAACACCCCCAGCCAGAGCAGCCACCAGCCCAAGGCAGAAACTGCAGCATACTCAGCATCTTCTTTTGGAACTTGGGGCTTCAAAGACAACATCGCCGTCTCACTCTCATTAAAGCCAACACCAGTCTTCCTGTATAGGTATCGTGTCCAGCCACATCCTGGCTGATGTGCAGATCTCTTAGTCTCTTTCCCTTGCTACCGACGGAGATGATAGCCGTCGGCGCATGATGGCTCATGGATTTTTTGTGGTTGGGACATGTTTAAACAACTTGAGGTACGTACCCTCGCACAAACACATCTGGAATCGGGGGATCGTCTGCCTTCACCGAGGACCGTCGTGGTCGAAGGGACTCCCTCTGCCTTTGCATCGAAGATGGAAGTCAAGAACATGCCAAGCGCCAAGATCTCATAAGAGTCACGACCTCCCAAGAGCAAAGGAAGTGTCGGATGCCGCCGCGGTTGCTGCTAGCTCAGATAGTTCGTTCGCAGAACCTGGTATACACTAGTATACACTTTCCACTACCCTGGCCCGCACCCTCTGGGGAAGTGCTACAGTAGCATGCCACACTCTCTCGCGCCCCCCCCCCCCTCTCTCTCTCTCTTTCCTCTCTACCCCTGTGCTCTTAGAGCTTGCCGTGCTGGGTCAAGCCACTTGTAGCACGCCTGCCCGGCTTTCTCATCTCTCGCTGTCTGGAGCGCGGTCCTGTACAGCAGCGAGCTCCTTCTGCTCGTTCTGGAACCTCTCCTTGCCACGGCATGTAAATGCAGCTCCGAGTATCTTCGCAAGCAAAGTTCGGACAGCTCCTCTTCCTGCCGCAACTCGTCCATCAATTGCGTGAAGTGACGCTCCGCCTGCACTTGGCCGGGCACTGCAAGCGATCTGAGCAGCAAACTCCGCCTTCTCGGCGGCGAGCCAGGACCGCCAGGCCGCGAGTGTGCGGTGCGTCAGCCAGGCAACCTCTGCGAAAACCGCGGAGCATGCGCGGAGCAGCGCTGCTCTCCCTCTGGCCTGTGCACGCTGCACGGGGCCCCGCCGGCCCTCACAGCGGGCAAAGGCCGCCTCGCGCCGGCGGAGCAAGGCCTCCGCATCGGCACGGCGTCGAAGGAAGGCCGCAGCACATCGCTCCTGCTATCAGCTCTCCCATCTCCCAGGTCCCTGCATGCGATTCTCTGACACGCTCCTGACGAACCAGCTCATCAGCCCACCTGAGAGTTCGTTAGGGCTTTAAGATCTCGAGATGAAGGAAAAGAATCTCCTTCCGATCCTGGCCTCGTTTGCCACTGATGTACGCTCGAGGGCTCCGAACCTCCAAGGGCTTCGGCGACCCGTGGACCATTCTGCGACGGCTCGACAGCCATCCCATGTTGTCTGCGAGCTGCGACATTTACATGCCGAACATCCTTCGACTTCCATGCAGCGAGTGGTGTATCGGCCAATCTATCTAAGTAGCCTGTATAGAGCAATCCTGCGCACTTATATCTGCCAAGGCAATATTCAGCGTCAACTAGCACGCCTTAGCACGCACCTTTGCTCCGTCCATCTTACTTGGCAGCAACAACTGGCAGGTCTGAGCTGGGTGGCAAGCTGGGAACAGGCTGGAAGTGTTTTTGCGCTCGTGGCTGAAATAGCAATAGAGTTGGGCCGAATGCCACAAACGTGCTGTCGCCCGTTTTGCCTTGGACGAAAGGCGACTGCATCGCAGAGCATCTTTGCAAGTGAGACGAATAATCCTACGGCAGCGGGTATCCCGAGTTCAAGACGCCCGCACCTGACAACTGTTCAGCAACCGGCCGGCTGCACATGCTCGCAACATTTACCTGCTCCCAGTCGTTTCAGGGCCGTTAATGCTAACCTGCTGGATGAGCTTCCCAATCCTCTCTAAACACTTGCTCTGGCTCAGCTTGGGCCATACCTCCTGAATCTAGCAGTCTCTTAGGCTGGGAACGACGATTGCTAAGAGGAGTGAAGTGCCACGTATTTGAAGACTCGCTTGTTTCTCAACAAAGTCCGATGCACGGTCACGTAAAGAGAGTACCCTGAGCACACTTGCCACGCTGTCATCGTGTTTCAGCAGTGCAGTGCAGCGCACCTGTCTTCACAGCTGCCACCAGCAGCGTGCTGCACCCGCAGACCGCGGCTTGTTGGGAGCTCTGGTCGTGAAGGGCTCGTACTCCCCGTCGGACTGCGACAAAAAAGCCATGCTCCGCTACGAGCCTCTGCTCTCCCAACTCCCCCCCTCTTCCCGGCGAGCATCCCCTCGCCTCGCAATCCACGGGTCCGAGGAAGGCATCGCTGCTGCGAGGCTCCCTGGGATTCCGCTGGCCAGGGCCAGGACTAGGGCTCGTCTTCACGAGCTCCAGCCGACGCCAACGTGCCGAACCCGCGGGCCACACAGTCGCCTCCAAAGCTCCCAGAGCTCCTGAGCTGAACAAAAGCCCCGGTTCCAGAGCTGACCTGTGGGCTGCCGCCTGGCCTTCCTGCTCCAGCCGTCTTGGCCGAGGCAACAGCGGCACCTGGCTCACAGCGTGTCTGAGTGCACAGCGAATGCGCCTTACCTGTTGCGTGTCCTCAACTTTGCCCTGTTGCCCTGGCCTGAGAGCTTGGAGGCCGTGTTTCTGTACTCGCACTGTCGAGGCGGCTGTCGCAGGGAGAGCGCGGCAAACATCGGCTGAGGGTCCTTCGAGCACTGAGGCGAAGGGTCAAATGCCCCTTCGGTCTGTGCTTCTAAAGCTGTCCTGGGCGTGCGAAGCACCGAGAGCTCATTGCTCATGCGCGACTGGCTCCAGTGCACCTGCTGGACACCCCCATATGTGTGCGACATGTCGACCCTGCAGCAGGGTCAGGAGGAAGAGCAAAACAACTAGCAACACCCTTCCTTCCTCTCCGCCCCAGCACATGCTCTGAAGTGCACAGTGTTCTGGCACGCTTTTTGAAGAGATTCAGGCCGAGGAGCAAAAAGGGGTGACCGGCCCCAGACCGTCAAACAATATATCCTGCACCCCGATTAAACGCTAAAGCAGCCAAACCCGAATCAACCCTGAACCCAAAACCGAAATCGGTCGCTGAAACCTGAAGCACTGACGAAACCTGAAAATCCCCTATCCTAAGTGTCCCAGCTGCGCTCTAAATCTCGTGTCTCATATTCAACGGTGTTCTGAACTCTCAATGCGGAAATACATACATCAACTACCGAAAGCCCTTTCCAGCCACACCGTCGTCGCGACATGGAGCTGCGCCTCTTCTCTGGAGTCTTGCAGTGATGTTTGGATCGAGCCACGATCTCTCTCGCTTTGCCAAATTGCCGCTGCCAGCAGGTTGAACCAGGGCTGTATCACCACCACCTCTTCTGCCTCAGAAGCTCTCCGCGCTCAGAATGGTTCTGACATTCTCCTTCATGCGTTCCGAGGATCGGTTGGATTTGGAATCTGTGATTCCTCAGCGCTCTCAGACACTCTCGAGCGACGCAGTCCAATTACAAGCAAGGCCGAGCTTTGCTGGCGAAGTTCGTCCAAGGGAAGTGATGGCCTATTCTTCAAGGCATTCGGAGTCGCTGGCTTCGCCTGTGTGGCAGTATCATCAGTCAGAACTTTGTGCTGGAGCTAGTATTCACAGGATGATTGCCGTGACGGCCGCGATTCTGCTTGCGACGACCCCCAGCCTGGGGGAAGCGCTGTCCGGTGATGTGCAGCCTGAGTTCAGTATATGCTGTAGTGTGGTAATGTTCGTCGTAGTCGTAGTCGAAGTACGACCACGACGATTACTAACTGCTAGCCAGCTCCCCTCCCAACTGCACTTATCAAGTAGTCCCGGCTGGGCAGTGGCAGCTCCTGGTCTTATTTTCCATAACTGTGACAGTGGTAGAAGTTGTAGGGTCGCGCTCCCTATAACTGTACAGCCGCTGAAGTTGCAGTGCTTCAGGCCCCCACAGCAGCTGAAAGCTGCAAAATCGACAGTGAAGAAACTGTTAAACAAAGGTTGCAGGATGGTGCGAAAACGCCGTAAATGCCCTGCAAGACCAAAAAAACAAAATGCCACCTGTTCGTGAGAGGGTTCACCAACACCACTAAAGCCCAGACCTCAGCGAGGAAGGTTTGTTGTAGTAGTTTGTAGTGTGTGCACAGTAGGGTATCACTGTAAGTGTCTGTAACTTACCCCCATTACCCACCCACCCTCCTCCAAACTCCCAGGCTCGAGTTTGCAAAGTCGAGAAGTAACTTTTGAGGCAGCAAAAGGTTGGTAGGACTGCACACACCGAATAAAATGGATACACTGAGAAAGAAGATTTAGGGCAACTTTAGTTGGTAGGGGGTTTCCTACTACAACACGACGTCGTCGACTGCTACGTCGACTGCGGTGACGATGACTATGTCTACTAGTACCATTACTGCTTCCACGTCTACGACAAGATCTACAAGAAACCGGTCAGGTGCGTGCTACAGTCGCAAGAACCTCCGTGATGGAAAACATGATGGCTACCTGGCTAGAGTCCTACACAGAAATGAACGCAGACTTCGGTCCAAGCTTGCAGGCTGGAGGCTGCCTCATGCGAGCTTCGAAGGTCCGGTTGATGGCCACCCCTGCGCCCCGGAACTGTGCCTTGCCCTGGCACTGGGCCCCCTGTTGAGGGGCCGCGTCCTTTTGAGAGCCCTGGCCCTCATCTGGAGAAGTCCTGCCTGGCGTCCTGCGGACATGAGCTTCTGCAGGTATGTCACGATATCCTGCGACGCTCGAAGTCGAACACCACCCCCGCCTGATGAAGGACGGTTTCCGGGCCATGGCAGAACGGCTCACGGCATCTCACGGCTCGGACGCAACATATATATATATATATGAATATGCGACTTCTGCAAAGATCCTCCTAGAAACAGCTGCACTGATCCTGCTTGCTCGCTCGATACTAGATCTGGCAAGTGGTCCACGTGCTGACACCGTGTAGCTCATGCTTCTTCACAGACTCTTTCGAACTGCAATCTCTAGGAGTGGTGGTCGACGAAGTTAGCCCCAACTCAATGCCGCATGCCCATGTTGCGGGTCGTGGCTCGTCCATGCCATGTGAACAATAGCCAGATTTTGCTTTTCCGGCGTTGACAACATCCTGTCTTGTCTCTTGCTCGTTCTGTACCTTCCTTCGATTTTTGGAAACAGTGCTTGACAATTAACTCTTGCCTAAGCAGTGCAACACGATTGATCTCAAAGTAGCCTGGCAATACACACATTTACACGCGCCTAGACTTGGACACTGTGCAATCAAAGCCGCAAGCCGCCAGCAGTTAAACAGCTGGCAGCCATGGAAAACTGACTTGAGTGGCTTCGGGCCTTGCTGTCCTTAAATCATTACCTTGTGAAACCGAGAGCAGTGAGCTCACACCACGAGAGGCGCTACGTAACTGTATCTGATGCTTGGCTCCCCAACAGCAAACGCTTCGTGGAGAGTTTCCCAGAGAGAATTTACGAACTCAGGGGAGCCAGACCAACCACATACACATGCAAAACTCGTAATTCGCGACGCTGCTCAGGATCTACTTCTCTTCCTCGCTTCACAGCCGCTGAGCACAGCACATTGTTTGGGGAGATAAAGCATCTTCAGCATCGGTAGAAAATGCCTTAGGGCCTTCGGGTTCACGTGTTGGACGGGAAAAAACGTAAAACGAACTTCCCAAGTGCCAACTGCAATCCTGAAAATTCACGAGAAAAAGCAGGGCAGAATTCAAGAATTGAACAGCATGTTCATGTTATCGCAAGCGTCTTCAAGCCTGGAGCTGCCGAAATTGGCCTGGGAAGTGCTCAAGGACCATCGCGCAGGTATCGCAAACACTTGCGCATATGCAAAACGCATCGGGCAACCGTCGCCACAGGCATGGCGGGGATGGCACCGAAACCATAAAAGCAGAAAGTTGAAGTACACACTGAACATAAAACCGTTTGACACACCTGTGCACTTGTATGGAATCCAGAATCGCCCAAGTTGGGAAAACACGCCTGCTTTTGGCCGTGAGCTTGCCGTAAGACGGCTGTAAGCCATTCAACCCTCCGAGCTTCTTCTTATCTTTTCTCACGCGGTTTTGGCAGGCTGAGTGGTTGCGGTTGGGGCAAGGTTGGTTGGCATGCTGCCCTTTTTCGACATATCGACTTGTGAACATGACTCACGTCTGTCTGCAAGGGCTCCCTGGACTTCAATGTGTGTCCTGCAGCTTCTTTCGCATGGCTGCCAGCTCGTCATCGATGGCGCTGTTCTCAGTCAAGGCCTGAACCAAGCTTGGAAAGTTCATCGTGCCGACCGTGTTCTCGGCACTAGTGATGGTCGCATCGCAGGCCTTCTTGCCCTTCATCTTGGCAAGCTCGTCATCAACTGCACTTCCGGCTTCCAGCCTCCACCACCATGGCCCAGTGGAGCTTCAAAGCTTGTGAAGCACAGCTTCGCAAAGTGTCGATGCATGCCAAGGCACTGCTTGAAGCGGTCCTTCGGGAACGCCCATGGACAGGAGGTACCGAGGTACCACATGGCCCCACTTAGAAACGATGAAGATCCTTAACATACTGCTCGACAACTCCTCAAACAGCGAACCCGCTCCTCAAGGCTGCCGCTCGCCTGCGCCTCTGGCAGCAGCCCCTGCGAGACCTGCATGCATGCATGCATGCATGCAGCATACCTACACGCCGTCCATATGCACTCCAATAACTCAAGCGCATGCACAAATACACCATACAACCGTACGTACGAATGCACATGCACATACATAACTTGACAACGCGTACATGTATAAGCACATTACGTGTAAATGCGGACTGCTGGGAAGAATGGACCGTGCCACACCAGTCAAGGCAGCCTTCAGCATTGCTCCTAGAATCTAGAACTCCCAGACGCCTACCGTGGCTACGATTGAAAAGGCCGGACCTTCAGGTGGGGCGAAAACATGAAAAAGCAGCTTCTGTTTTGTCACCTGGCTTGGCTCGGAGACAAACCTGATCGGAATTCCGCAAGCTCAAAGACGAGTACCGCTTTAACAAGCACCGCTCGCTGTTGGCACTTTTCCAATAGGATGGTCGAAGCAATGTCGCACCAATCCACACAGCTGAAGGCGAGCCGCAGGCGCTCATGCCCATCACGATTTTCGTGTCGACACGCTACGTACCAGTAGCAAGCACTTGGAGCCCACTAGCACGTTCGAAGATGTTCAAAGCGAGCTGGAAGCTCACGCAGCTTTGGCTCAAGTCAGTGCTGACAACTGAAGTCCAAGTGCCTCTGCACGGGTTTCCAGCATCTCGACCTGAGCCGCAAAGCAAGAAGAACTCAATTCGGATCATCGCAGTTCGGACGGGAGCATCGCCTTCTCCTTCATGCGGTCAAAAGCCCCAGTGGAACCAACGCTGGTTACATCGGAGAGCATCTCGTTGACCTGCAGGCACACTATACCGACAGCCACCAGTGAATCAGACTTGTCGCAGAAGGGCTGCTCCGTCAACTATAGAAATACTCAGTTGCCTGAGCAGTCGTCTTGGCCGTGCGTGCACGCGCGATGAGCTGCTCCTTCTCCTGGCTCCACTGGACTCGAAGCTGGCCCCAATAAAGCTGAGCGTGGCTAATTCCGCCTCTTTGGCCTGAGTGATCTTCGCCTGTGCTGCGGGCCGGACAGGGAGATGATAGCACCGCCAAAAAACCGTACAGGGCACTACGGAGGATATAGGGGGGGGGGTACAGTCGGGCGCCTCCAGGGCCTTGACGGACTCGAAGAGCTTCTCCACGTTCCTGCAGAAAATTGGCCAAAGAGAGGTTCTCCGTTCTCATGAAAGCCGAGTCCAAAGGCCCCGTCCCTGTCATCGCATCGATCTGTGCCCCCAAGTCGTTGGCCTCGTCTCACAGAGCAGCAAAGCCCAAAGACAGCCCTGGCTCCCAAGCCTTGGTTACGGAGGTCTGTCTCCGGGTCAGGGCTTCTTTGGCAAGCTCGTCATCACCCTTCTCGACCTCAGACACAGCAACATGAACCTTTGCCGAAGTGCCTTCCACCAAGTTTCACACTGCCATCTCCGCCCGCTTGTACCAGTCTTCGGCCATCTTGTCAGCTTGCTCCTGTGATGGCAACTTCACACCCATCGGAGAAGCCGCTTCCCACGAGGCAGACTCACCTTCTGGGTCTGGAGTCTTCTCTGCGTCGCCAGCACCTCACAGACAAGGGAAACTGCAGGAACTCGGGGGCACGTTAAATGTGATGAAGACGGACCTCGGCATAAGACTGCCTCACCTTGATGAGGTCGCCCTGCAAAGAGAGCACCGCAGTCTCCACTGCAGCCGTCCGTGCCATCTATCATGCAGCGTCACGCGCCTGCATCTCATCCAAGGCCTAACAAATCGCAGAGCTGCAGGGGCCCCAACCGAACAGATCATGCCATCGACACTCGACACTGGACGGCTCCCTGTCTCTCATTCTTTTAATCCGAACATCCCTCCCAACGTCTGAACTTGCTGCTTCAGCTGAACATATGCAAAGACACGTGCAGCATGCACTTGCATGCACCCTGTCGTGGGACACAGCAGTGAAGCAAGTGTGTAACTACAGCTCGAGAACTGCCAGTGCAAACTAATCCGCGGCCTGATCGAGGACTTTCTCCGGATCTTCCAAGCCCTGAAGAACCTGACACGCTTGGAGGCTCTGCTCGGCTGATGGCCCGCTTTGGACTGCGGCATCCAGCTGAGTCAAAAGTTCAATTTTTCTGCTGGCAAGTATGCCCGAAAATCCGTTCCAGTGCAACTCAACGACACGCTGAGAGTTGCTGACCTCTATGCGCGCTCTGTACAACGCGATGCGGTGCAACACCGCAAGGTCCTGGATCTGGGTGCTTGCTGGGCTGCTACTCGTATGCAAGCCCAACTTGCACACAAGTTGTTCCAAAATAGCTCGTAGATTTCGGGTATATCACAACGAAATCTGAGGCACACACGCTGCACAGTGTGGTCAGATGACGGATGACATTGACATGAATTGCATACCCACATGTCGAAGTGGATGCACATCTCATCCGAGCTGCTTCCTCTCAAGCTGGCCTGCAGCATGCTGTCGACAGTAGAAATCTTGCAGTACATTCTTAGAAGGCGAGGCAACAGCAACACTTTATAAACATCGTGAAAACCAGATGTTTCATGCAGGAGGAACCTCTAATCCGCCCCCCAATGCTGCTTGCATACGCCAGCCACTCGTTACCAGCGCAGTACCCTGAGACATGCCATGGGCATCGTAAGATGATAAAAAAAAACACGGCCTGACTTCCAAGCGTCCACGAATCCCTGGATGGATGCCACCGTTATTGGTCCAGCTTCCGCGACGAAGTATGCTCCTACCATCAGTTGTCGAGGAAAAGGTGTTGTGTCCAAATGCAGAAGACTCTGGAACTGCTGTGGATGTCGAGATGCCATCACTTGGGATGTCTATCAGCACCATGGACATAGACGGCTTGCCAGCATCACCGTTCGTCAAGCCTTGGCAAGTGCCCAGCAGCTCAGTGTCTGCAACGCTCCCTGCACTGTTCTCTTGGGTGCCTAGATTGTAAGCTAGTTCCAGCCGCTCCGGCGCAGCAGGAACGCGTGCAAGCGCATCCAGTCTTACTAATGATCATGCATTGCAATGGTGGCTGAAGCTCTCGATTGTGGTAGTTTCTCTGGAATGCTCTCCGATACGCAGAGGAAGTCGAATCTGCCACGTAGCTCAGCAGGCTGCGAAGATGACCTGTCAGTTCAGAGTCCTTCGTGGCTATCATGAAGGCCACTTCAGGCGAACTTTCCTTTGCAGCCTGCAAGCGCACAACAGGAAAAGACTTTCTTGAAACTGGTACACAATGACCTGTGACACCAGAAGAGCACCGCTCGGCAGCTGGAGCCTTCTGATGCTCAATGAACTTTGAAGACACGGCAGTGAGAGCGTCTTCGACCTCTTGCTGCTCCGGCTTGCTGCTGGACTCGCAGAAAACCTGACGGAACCGCTCTGGTCACGAAGGAAAAATCTGGTCCGGGTCCACTCTCTGAGTGCCCATGAGCTCTGCTTTGCATCGGCCATCTTTCAACTTGCTCTCCTGCGACCTGGACCTGCCAAGTGCTGCTACAGCCACCACCACAGTCGGCACGTCCTCGATGTCACCAGGACCAGCTGCCAGGTTCTGCACCTCCGCCGAACAGCAAAACGGCTCTGAATCTTCAGAGGAAGAAACAAGCATCGAACAAAAACCACAGGAATGTGTGCAAGAGGGCAGTCCCAAGGGCAGGTTTGGGGTACCACGGCAGACTGTGGCCCTCCGGGTCTTCAGACACTGCGTCGCGCCCTTTGAGCGTCACGACTTCCAAGTTCGCATCCAGAACCACCTCAGGAGTGTTGATCGGATCGCTGTCAACCCGCGGCCACTTAGGTTGCTTGGTGGCATTGCGGTCCTTCTGTCGCTGCGGTTGCAACCGTGGCTCTGAGCGTCGCAATATTTGCTTGCAACATCCACCGCGGGTGTGGCAGTGGCGCGAGGCACTACGATGCGATCGAGAGACAAGGCTTGGGATGCCATCCACTTTGAAAGTTTGCGATAGCTGCTCCTCGGAAGCTTCTGCAGTGTTTTCAGCTTCAGTACACGGTAACTCGACTCAGTTCAGGAGTGTTCAGGCCTTCAAGTCCCTGTCGGCAAAGTCCAGGGCCAGCCAGGGCATCTCCTTGAAGTACTCATCGAACTGGCTCTGGTCTCTGTCCGACGACACGAAGACGACCTCCAAGCCTTTGGCACTGAGGTCCTCGAGAATGCGCTTTGCAGGCAGACTGATTCGAGAGCGCAAGGGTCTCCTTCTTGTACCACTCGGCGAGTTTCGGAGTGAACCCACGACATGGCGGGCACCAGTGAGCGCTGAAATACCTCAAGAGACCATGGATGGAAGAACGAGGACGGCGGATGATGAAGAGCTCACGGGCGAATGTACAGCCATTGAGCTCCAAGTCGGACATGCTCTGTTCGTTCAATTGCACTTGTGCACCGGGGCCCTTATCCCGTGAATAAAGTACTGGTCGGCTGTGATATTTCGTCATTCTATAGAGTCGGATGGCTGCAAACTGAATGAAACCAACTAGGCGAGAAGACTTAGTAGAGGGCAGTGACTGAACGTATGCGAGAGGAGGAAGTCGTAGTTAGCATGAGTGAGCAGCATTGGTAGCGGAACAATACTACAGGTACTGCAGTAGTGCTACCAGCCACCAGTACTGTTCTGACAAAAAATGCAGGGAGTGTCTCATTCTCAAGCTGGCTTCCTGAATTGGTAATGGTGGAACCCTTGCTCACAAGGCTGGCTACAACATCCAAACTGCACACCGCACAACGACCAAAAGGCATCCGGTAGATTCAAACAGCTACAGAGACGGGAGCTACCGCCACAAGGACAGGTTGGCCAAACCAAGATCGCCGAGAGACAATGCGAGCGCCTTCTTTCCTTGCATAGCCTTTCAGGCAAGATACTGTCACTATATGAGCAGGCACATCCAGTGACTGCGCTGCCTCGTTCAGGGACATGTGACCCACACCATCTGCTGCATGTGATGCGCTCTTCAACTTCATCTTTTGGAGGAGATCAGATGGCTTCGGCGGAATCCTTGTATGTGGGAAAACATTTAAACCCAGAGAAGCGTCAACGCAAGCCAGTTGCTAGGCTCCGCAGTGTCCCCCGATTCTGATGCAATGACAAGAACTCTTAAATTGGACATGTAGACTAGCGATCCCAATGGCCAGACGTGCCTGGGCACTCGCTTGAACCCGACTGTGACCGGTTGCATTTCGCTCAGTCAGTCTGAGCTGCGACTCCCCAAACCCGAAACTTCCCAAAGGCCAAAAACAGTTTGCCAAAAATGCAATAGTCTTCGCGGCTGATTTTAACAAGCTTCCAGGGAAAGTTCTTCCCCTCCGGATCCATTGCGATGGCTTGACGGCCGTCAGCCGTGATCAGCTGGCCACTCGGGTCCACAACAACCAGCATCGGAATGCCATTAACCTCAAGAGTCGACATTTACAAATGAATCAGTGGCTATGGTGCTCGGAAGGACGACTGTGCCTTGAATTTCTTGTTCAGCTTCTGGCTGACGTCCTGACAGTGTGGCTGGAGTTGCAAATCGAAGGTTTCGGGACTCTTGCGGACTCGCGGCCTTCTGAGAGAAGTCCAGGGCTAGCCAAGGCATTTCCGCGAAGTACTCCTTGAACTCTTCTTCGGATCGATCGGCGGAGACGAAGACGACCTCCAAGCCTTTGGCTTGCAAATCCTGACAGACAGAGCACCAAGGGAAGATAAAGGGGGCTCGGCGCAGCGTGCAGGACATGTGCAGGGGTCCTTCTTGTACCACTCCGCCAGCTTTGGCGTAAAGCCGCGGCACGGAGGGCACCAGTGGGCGCTGAAGTACCTGGGATAAGGAAAGTACGGACAGCAAGGTAAGGGTCCACAGCAGTTGAGTGTCCACTAACAATGCTCAAGCACAGTGCGACAGCCTTGGCATTCTTCAAGGCCTGCGTAGATTTGCGGAGCAATGTCGACCCCTGTCTACAGCCAAGTGCGCCTCGGACGTGTCTTTCGCACAGCCATTCGCCAGCAAGGAGCTGCCCAAGAGCTCGACCAAAGACATGGCGCGAGAGGATTTGTAGGGAAGGAGTCGGAAGGAGCCAGACAAAATTGCTGAAGGCCAGCAAAGGCGAGGACGGAGTGTTGCAGACTGCCAATGCGTAGAGATGAGCTGCAGGGGCACAGGCCTTGTTCACATTTGCCTTGGCAACTCGAGCGAATCGCTCAAAAAGGTTGTCGCCAGCCAGGCGAACCTTAGCGGCACTGCCGGGCAGCTGCCTGCACGGCTCTGCAAGAGCCTACGCTAAGCCGCTAAGCGACACGAGGGTATACCAAAAGGCCGAGCCACTGTTGGCGGCTTAGGCACTGCCCTGGATGGCAGTCGCCTGAAGTCCGCAACATGTCCCGGCTTGGTGCTGCCTTCGTGCTCTGCACACTGACCTCCTTGCTGGCTCAAACTGAGGTCGGAGCGCGCCGACGAAGGTGGCTCCAAGCTGCGCGAACCTCGTGCAGATCATGGCACGCCCAGTCGCCGATCTCAATCTTCCATAAACTCAAAACACGACGAGAACAATTGGACTTCACCAAACTTCCAAGGAGGAGGGATCTTGCAGTGGCTCGATGTTGCAACCTATTGCGAGAGTCTCACACATTGCGACCCGTTCTGGGCATCCGCGCAGGGCCACCACAGCCAGGGCAGCGGGAATATGCAGCCAGCTGCGGGAACGGCCTGTCTCTCTGTGGTTCTCAAATGAAAAGCCTGGAAAAGTCGTCGGCGACAACAGCAGCTGGCCTCTTCGCATGCTCAGCATGATGAAAGCCAGGAAGGAAAAATGGTAAGTCCGAATCCTAATATGCGTCTGTAAGAAGCAGCGGGGTCGCGGCAGACAGTTACGATCTCAAGTCCAGACCTCACTGCGAAAATCAAGTTGAGAAAGTCGCAGTTAAGTTCAGAAGTTGGGATGGCGCGACCGACCATCTGACAGAAAGGGCAAGCAGATCGACTGGACCGAGGCTTCTGCCTGCTAGACGTGTCCAATAAAGACGAAACCCGGCACTTCGACCATTGCACCGTCGGCATTGGAGCAGCGACTGCTTTGCTCTTCGCCTCTGTGCCAGCGTGAGTGTGGGTGAGACCGAAATTCAGCTGGGGTAAGAGTGTCAACAACATGACACACTTTGCCCAGCTCTTGCCCACTGACCTGAGCCTATCAGAGTCACGTCGGCTTCCCTCACGGCTCAGAGAACTTTCAGTCACCGCATCCTTAAACTGATGCGCTCGCCCATCCTGCGCAAAGTCACAGACTCTCTCAGGCTGACAGATCTGACTCTGCCAGGCACCAGAGGTGTTTCTGGCAACCTCGGATTCCTTCGATTCGAGTCATCAAATTCAAGCAGGCTCGGATGGAAGAATGCATGCGCATGGGGAACTTACACTGTTGGTAGCACGAATGCTCTTCGTGGCATTGCCGAAAAAGACAACAAGCACACGAACGACAGAAAGAGTACTTGCCCTGCTGTTATACGTTCTGTTACTGTTAATGCGCACGACGGACTGCGGAAGACATAAAACACACTCTGGCGTGTCGTGGAGTGGCAAACGTGTTTTCATTGCTCTTGGCTTCGAACTGCCGTGTTGGGGAAGGCCATCCAGTCCCAACGGCTACTCGGTTACTCTCTGTGCACGCGTCTACTGTATCCTGGCAGCTTGCTGGAGCATGGCATCAATGCCATATCACCACACGAGTTTCTAAGCTGCGTCGATCTGCTTGACCGGGACAAGTAATTTCATTCTGGATTCCATCGCATCAACCTCTGCATGGTCATCATCAACCATAAACATCGGCTTGGAACTGGCTATCTGCTTCCGGCCAAGTTATCATCTCTTCTTCGTGGATGTCTCTTCTTCGGGTTAGGGGAGCTGAGCAATATGCACATCAATCAGCTTGCATACTCGACTTGCTTGGTCCTCTTCCGCTTCTTCCTTCGTGCCAAACCTGGCATGCGATCCGGCGAGACGCTGAAGGTAGAAAGTACGAGTATCCTGTACAAAGCGTCGGCGGCACGATTAGTCTTGTTCATGGCCCAAAGCTCTGCGCTCTGGCCCTGGCCATGCCTGAGTCTCAGCTGGCGAGCTGTCTGAGGCCCATCCAGGCAGGTCAGGTCCCTCGGTTGGGAGGCGCAGGCTGCGGCAGCTGCACAGAGAGCTGCCGATCCGGAGACGTCAAGAGCTTCCAACCTGGACAGACTGAACAAAGTCGGAGCATGCGCCTGCGAGGCCAAGGCTGGGCATCGAGCTCTCAGGCAGAGGATGAGCAGGTTGGGAAATGGTCGGACATGTCACCTTGGACCAGTGCTCCGCTGTCCGATTGGCAGCATCATAGGGGACCGAAACGTGCGCACACTCGCCTCCATGTTTGACAGGACGGACATCCCAGCGGTCCGAGCCCAGCCCTGCCCAGTTACACCGGAAACCGAGCAGAAGCCGCTCCCTAAACCCTAAACCCTAAACTTCTCAAGCCCTTCTCAAGCCCAACAGCCGGAGCCTTCTGCACCTCGAGGCCGAGGCTGGAACCTGTGCACAGACCGTCCCAGGGACCTTCCCAGGGATCCCGTCTCAGACCCTTCAACCGAGCCAGCTGTGTAGCCCAGAATTCCGGGTTCCGAGGATCATTTTCCACCAAACCTGCGCTTCCTGCGCTGCAGGGAGCCGCGACTTCCCCAAGCACACGGAGACCAAAGCCGAGCTGATCTTCCAGTGGACCAAGCCACCGTGAACTTTTGGTGGAACCCAACTGACATGCGGTAACACAACTTGCAGGCTATCTTTGCGAGGAATGCGAAGCCGTTGGCACTGAAGCCGGGAACACACCTGTTTTTGGTCCCAGTTCCCCTGTCCTCCTCCTAACCGTAACGGGGGAGCATCTGTTAAAGTTGCAGTCTAGTTCCCAGGTCTGACGTCAGGAGGGCAGTTGCCAAAAGCTGAAACTTCGCAATCACTCTCACATCAGCTCGACTGAATACGATTTGTACAAGGAAGCCAACGGCCAGTCAACAACCGCCAGCCAATTGACAGACGTGTGCTATGAAAATGTGTCGCAACTGTCGTAGCGCACGTAGACATCATGTTCTTGATCATTGAAAGTGTGAAACTGAACGGTGTCAGAAGTCATTCCATACATGTCCTGCTGAAACCGACGTCGCTGTCGCTCTCGCCAGCAGTAGAACAATACCTCAGCGCATTGGACTGCATGCACAAAGAGCCAGAAAACCCGCGACTCGGACAGGAAGGCAAAGAGGAAACAAGACAGGTGGTAACAGCGACTGCCACAACCCTGTGCTATGGTGAATCATGCAGACGGAAACCAGGTGGCCCCAGCAGCAATGCCCAGCACGAGCAGCACGCGCATGAAGCCGGCTAAGCCAATGTCCTTCGAAGGTTGGATAAGCTAGCGCATAAACTTCTACCACTCCCAGTAACTGCAAGGATCTGCAGGGCCAGGCGTGGCTGGTTAGCTCTCCGACATCATACCCTGAATCGCTCCCGAGGAAATAACCGGGGGCTGTCCCACTCAAGAGCTCCTCTTCCGGCGACGGCGTTGTGGTGGGCACGGCACAGCCGCAGGCGCTGAGGTCGTAGCGCACGCTGTCCGCGCGGCCTGCGCCTCCTATCGCGCTGCTCTGCAAGAGGCATGGATCCAGCGGCGGCCTCCGAAGCGTCATGCACCCTCATACATCACGCCCCTATAGTCCTCACAAACCGGACATCAGGTCTGCCTCTGAGTTTCGGCCCAGGCATGCAGCTCCGAACAGCCAAGACAGCGATTGTGGCGATCATCTTCGACCCAGCCACACTGCTCCTGGTGAGGCGGAGCTGCAGGATGCTTCAGGCGTTGCCTAAGCCCCTTTACAAAAAAGAAATCAGGCGCACTTGACAGACACACCGAGCACAAACGACCACATGGAAAGAGGCAGATTACAGATTACATGCACAGAAATACTCAGATCCTCCCACCCAACGCACCGGGACTGTGCAGCAGCCTGCACATGGACCTGAACCCGACAAACGCTGGAAATGTGGCGACTTCCTCTGAAGTTCGGGAGCAGCAGGTCCAAGCAAAGCTGCTGGACTGCGAAGAGGCTCACAGCCTATGCCTGCCTACTGGGCACCTCAATGAATCACAAGCACGGGAATGAATTCAGCTTTGTGTACTGACCGGGGGTGCGACTTACAGCATGGATTGCAAGGAGATCTAAGTCTCCAGACAGGACAATAAAGCAACTTGCAAGGTATCGCGCGGGATCTGCTCTTTGTAAGTCAGGCTTTGCAAAGGGCATACCAGGTATACCACAAACGCCATGCATGCGACCTGGTCTGACCTGACTTGCAAATGTCCCCGCCAACATAGTTCAACACGTGTCCTTGATGCAAGTGTCATGAGATGACTCCGTGCAGGTGCCATCGTCTTGTGTCACCTCTGTCGCTGGCACGGTGCCCTATGCACTGCAACGACACCGGAAGACGCTCCATGCGTGTGAACATACCAACAGGTTACCGACTGGCCTGAATGACCTGTCCGCGTGTTAGCACCAGGACAGTATGTCCGGTTGTGGCCTCGGCCTCCACCGCCAAGCCTCAGACGGGGCACTGTCGGACTAAGAGCTCGCAGTCGCTTGTCGACGAGCTCAGGCGAGAACCTAGAGGCTGTGCAATCCGAGAGATCCAGCTAGCTGGTGACAGCGTCTCCTTAGCCCCGAGAGTGCCAAGAGAGTTTACAACCACCGGCAGCATATAATATAGCAGCATCTTATACAGACGACCCCACCGAAGAACAAGGACGGAAGATTGCCTGCAATCCAACATCTCGAACAAGTTGCATTCGGTGGTTCTGCACATTCAACAGCGGATCCGAGCAATGTCTTCACTCGGCCCTCTTCCACCTGCCATCAGCTGCACTGAAACAGAAATACCTTAGTAATATTATCGTAGTTTTATAGTATCAGTATAGTATGTTCATATATATCAATACAATTTATTCTTGAAATATCATACTATTACTGCCATCCAAACCTCAGGACCCGGCCTGGCGCAAGGAGCAGCCATCCACTATTAGGAGCTTGCCATGCAGCCACGCCACCTCAGAGAGAGAGAGAGAGAAAAATAACAGTAAATACTGTTAGTACGATTATTAGTGCAATTATTGTTCTTGTTGTATTTGTGTTATTGAGGGGGAGTTGCGCAAGGCGAATCCCATCGCAGCGGTTGATATGATTCCACCGTTACAGAGCAATCCTACTGCCATACGTGCAAGCAGCCGTGGACAACCAGAGACACGGAGATACGGTGAGAAAGTGCTGAGCACTGTGGGACTGAGTGCAAACCAATTCTACAAGAAATCGATGATCAGGCAGGTACCAGACTAGCTGCGAAGCCTGCGAAGCCCAAGCAAACGACAAACACGTCAACCGCAGCCCTTGGAGTGATCGCCAGAAGCAGAGGTGTACGCTGACTGGAAGTTGGCCCAGCTCCATCTCATGAGGACTAGAAGTTGCCGTAAACAGCACCACGTCGGCTGAGATCAGCACATGGTGGGGCTGCACCACAGAGGCTGTCTCTGTTGGACCATCTGCTCCCTCACCTGTATACAAAGCTCATGAGTGGTCGTGTGACTAGTGTGGCAACATGCCCCTGATAGATTGACGAATCCGATGACTGAGGCCGCAGTCATTACTTGCTTCTACAAACTTCGGGCATCGTCGTGTTGGTGCGCCTGGTATCAATACTTCGTCAACAGCGGTCAGGTGCAAGACACCGTGCGTGTCTTCTTGAAGATGGAGCTTTACCACGCTCCGATTCCTCGGCTGAGTGCACGGATGCGGGCAAGCCTCATATGCTGTTGTCACACATGGCCATGCCATCAGCCCGTGCCTCGGCACGACTGCATAAACTTGGGCGTGCTGGACGATGTCTGCAGCAAAGGCCGCCGCCAAAGAGCCCAGCACATCCTGCTCGTCCTCCATGAAACTGGAGCATTGCTCGTGTTCACAGTTCTCAACTCGACGACTTACGGTACCTAAGTACTTCAAGTCGAACATGTAATTTACGACCGAGGCGAGAAAGTGCCCGAACGCTGGGCCTTGAACTTCTGCAGAAGGCTGGATGCCTGGATACTCACCGCTCATCAGGTGCATGCCGGACGGGATGCACAAACGCTTCTCTTCAACATTGAATCACAGCGGTCTCGAAAACAGCCAAGGAACCCCGAGAGCACCCGATGAGAGGCTCACGGCTAGAAGGCCTGAGCGGGAACAGAGCGGTGGGCTTGGCGGCAGGAGCTTCAGGTCCAATGGCGTATGGAGAAAATCCTGGCAGCGGGCTGGCACGCGAGGCGCGGAGCAGCAGATTGTCCACGCAGCAAAGGGACTTGGCAGGCACCGTCTCTTGGAAGATCGCCACCTGTTGTTCGGAAACTTGAGTTTCAAACTTAGGACTTTGCCAGTTTGAACTGCTTTTGGACTCCAATGCCTTGACAGACTCCTTGGCCAACAGGCTGTACTCATAGATGGTGAGTACCCCACCATCCTTTGATAGCACCTCGTAGAACAGGCTGCTGCGGTGGTGGCACATATGGAAGGCCACCAGTTCCTCGGCTTTATCTCTGCGGCTGCGATCGGGAATGCTAACCTGGCACTGGTCAAGAGCCTTGGGCAGGAGTTACTAAACCGTCTAAACCGTCTGAGCGGCGGAGTCATGCCTTTCCACAGCAGGCGTGAGCAGTCCATCATGCAGCATTGACACACCTGTCTTTGTCGCAAAGTACACCGCCTGTGCCTCAAATTGCAGATGGCAAGATGCACCGTCATCCCCTTGTGGCAACTAGCAGAGTAACTAGCAATTTACACTCTCCCCGATGTCTGCGCCGCCCCCAAGCTGAGGCCAGCGCATTGACCATCCCTATATGATTGATCTGCCAGGCAGGAGTAACATGGAAAAGGCTCAGAGTCTAGAGCATTCGAAAAATGCTCATGATTCTGCTCGTCCACCGGCTTGGCTGATGGAAGTCACACTGCGCAGCAAGAACAGCATGTGAAAGGCATGCCGAACCCTGCGCCTGCACATCATGGGGTTGATAGAAGCTGCTGCTCCAGCTATCATCAGCATACTCTCGGTGAGTCTCACCCAGGACCTTTGCAAGTCAAAGTCTGTTTCGGCCGGTCATTCAATGTGCTGGTCTTGCGGACTGAAAACCTGGCCTTTGCCAGTGCATACCAAGCAACATGCAGCAGGCACACACAAAAGCTGAGGCCTGACAATCTGCTGGCAGTCAGATACTTCACTGCTTGTCAGAGTACTCACCGAGAGGCCTGGAAAAAGCGAAGGCTGCATGAGGCCGGGCAACAAAGATGGCCAGCGAGCGTCAAAAAGCTTGCAGATCACACTTGTGACATTATGCTGTTAAACCTATGTTCGCCTCATGATTACTTTCCGTCACCATTTGTTGCCATAGTCAGTGTTTGGCACGTGTGCTACATAGACCACCGTGCGCTTCAAGTTATGCTTCCGGATGTGGAGAGCTCATCCGTGTCATCCTGAGGGCAGAGGTTGGCTTTCATGCACATCATGGACACTTGCGCAGCCAGAGCTCGAATTGAATTCAGAATCCTGGAGCAAACAGCAGCAGCGGTCGATACAATACAATGCAATCCATGAGACATGCCGAGACAGGCAAGAGGTGCACTGCTGAGCGCAACACTTGCAAAGTTGCGGCTTGAGCGTGCGAAGAAGCTCCATGCCTGCCGGCGTTCGAGGATGAATAGAATCCGGATCTAGCATGTGCCCCCCTATACTCTTGAGGGAGCGAGATGTAAGTTCAGAGTCCACAACAGGTGTTTACAAAGCTATCGCCACGCAATGCGACTCTTGTCAAGCACACCCTGCAGAGTTGTTGCACAAGGGAACAGAACCTTCCTTCCTTCCTTGCACCCTGCGCCATCAAGTTGAATCTCTTTGCGTTGGCGGTTCTGCTCTGTTCCTGTCTGAGTCTAGCTGCGAGCTACGACCATGGACTCTATCCGCAAACGGGCACTGTCCGGCCTGTCCAACACGGCTCAGCACGGCCATGGAGCTGGGGCAGAGAGTTTGCTCTGGCTAACTGTTCAAACCTGTTGCTGTTGCACAAGGAGGTGGGGCTCCACGCATTGCAGGTGTTGCCGTCCTCAGAAGACCTACACAGGGCCTACGGAATCTTTCCTACGAGCCGGCCCGCAAGACCGAAACAACTCCGCTCGCGGAGTCAAAGTGGCTCAGGCCCAGGCTTGCCAGTCTTGCAATTCACTCTCAAGACTGAGCAAGCACCAAGGCTCTGTTTCTGCAACATCGACCAAGCTCGCTTGCTTGGCTGCATCAGAGGCCCGAAGAGATACATACTTCACGGATAAGCAGACACTACTCAAGCAAGGTCACAACCTGAATGCATCAAGCAGGGCGGAACATCCAAGCAATGCCAAAGCAACTCCATGCTGGGCAGGTGCAGCCTCGTTGAAGCCACGATCCCGCGCCAGGTCTAGCGGCGTCTTCCCCAAGTAGTCCTGAGCTGCAGCTATAGAGTCAGCTATATAGTGACGAGGCAGCAAGCTGTGCATTGGCCTGGGCATCACGGTCTGCACCCATGGACAGAAGTTCCTTCACCTGCCCGAGCCATTTTGCAACATGTCCTGCGACCACATTGGTGCGCACATCTGCATCGAATCGTGTCGCGCCGTCTGAAGAAAGCCGTTGTGAGCTGCAGCATGCAAAGGCGTTCTCTTCGTGATGGAAGCTGGCTCCTGATCCAAATTTGTTGTGGAAAGGCGCAACTGTACAGATCCCGTACGAAGGCCCTCGCACACAGATGATGCTTCGGTAGGTACCAGACGGTACCACTAAGTGGACACACTCTTCGGCGACCCAGAATGAGGCGCTGACGTCCAGGTACTTCTCCAACACACCAGCCTGCCGCGCAGGGACGTCTGCGACCACACGTCATTTAGCAGTATGGCAGGCGCAAAGGAAAACGGGATGTGCAGCATGAGCAAGCTTCTTTGCAATTTTTGGAGACGCACGGAGCCAGAAAGCATGCTCAGCATGTGTCTGGACTGTTGGGTGCCTTCCGCAGATGCAGCGCTAGAGCCTTGAGCGGCTTGTGGCTCCCCTGTCACAAAGTGCACTTGCAGGCTGACGCCCAGAAATCGCAAGAAAGGTACAGCCTTACCTGGCACGCGAACTTGTAGAAGGCCGAGCACTGGCAGATCCTCGATGGAACCCGACACGCGTCGCATGAAGATCCCCAAAATGGCTTTCCTTACACAGACCTAAGCGACCTCAACATCCTGTACACAAAAAAGGACACATGCTCTGTTCTGCCTGCAACATGAGGCATCAGGCAACGCTCGTCCCTGCAGCCGATGCTGAGATCCCTAATGCTTCGCAGAGCATTCCGATGTTTTCGGCATCTCTGGCTGTGTACAGGGAGACACGGGAGACAAACCCCGAATCCTAAACCCTGAAATTCTCAGAATAGGTCAGTGATGCAGCTGCAAACGCCACTGAGGAAGGACCATAAAGGCAGGATCCGGCAAACGAAAGAACTTCCACTGTCACAATGTCACCGATCTGGTTGCTTGTCCAACACTTTCCTCGTGTTCTTTGTGAAGATGTAGCAATGTGATGTACTCGTCCTGCGCTTGTACCGTTTCGTTTCGCCCTTTTGCTTCCTTCACTTGATCCTTGACAAGAGAAAAATAGTATTGTATGATGAACAGGGACTATAACGAAGAATGGCACAACCTGATGTCTAGCGCATGGCCGAGCTGCGAGTTCCGATGCTGAATGTCAGCCCCCTCTCTCACCAAGTACTCCACTGCCTGAGGGCTTGAAAATTGGGGCTGGGCAAGAACCAGTACTCACCGACCTCTGCAGAGACAGCCCAGAAGAGTGGTGTCTCGCCTTGATAGCAGAACAGCGCACACCTCTGAGTCGCATGACTTTCTCGCTCATCGGCTCGATAGCTCGGGTAACAGCCCATGCAGTCAAGCACATTGATGTCTGTGCCTCTCCAGCCGCGCAGTCTGTTGCAATGCATCCTGCTGTGAAGTGTCGATCCGCAGGGGATGGCCTTTATCCAGCTGCTTGACCACCTTCTCCATTCTGTCGATGCCGACCTGAAATGCAGCCGGGATCACAAGTGCGATGCACCACGTTGAACAGGAAGCTCACTGGCACTGCTAAGGAGCACATCGAAAGAACTTATTATTGGTGCAACCGCACGGAGATTGTAGCACCACAAGCTTGCACGTCCCACAAACGACGTGGACAGCGAAGCGCACCAACTCGTGAAGTAGAGACTGCTTGGGGATCGTTCCAGTCAGAGACGCCTGCCAAGGGCACAAGCACAAGCGAACTGCGAACATCTCACCGACACGACCTCTACCTGCCCGTGCCAGCACGCGCCTGCCCCTGGCTCTGGCCACCAGGCCTGGCTAAGAGAGCTCTGGCTCCGACGCGCTAGGGCTAGGGGCTCTAATCGATGAGAAAAGCAGACGCCAGACTGCCAGACACATAAGCATTGCCAGGGTCACGCAAAGGCCGCGCCACCGCCGAACATAGAAGCCTCCTGGCCAGCAACCGTACCTGCCTGACATCACCTTGCATGGAAGCCTGCCTCACTGCTGCAAGAGTCCAGCTTGTTCATCCTGTACCTTCCGAGATGATCCGAGTACATGAACACAGTGGGAAAAGCTGGTGAGATCCAGGCTTCCACTCCGGGAATTTGAAGTTCTCGCCCAGCTCTTGCATCATCGTCTTCATCTCGGGCCTCGGCTCCAGGTCTCTTTTCAAATCCGGGTGCCGTTGCTCTTTGGGAACTCGGCTTCAGGGACGGCCCGAGCATTGCCTTCACGCGCTCCTCCATCACAGTACCCATGGCTACCTGATTTTCGGAGGAGGAGAGACTGCCAGAAGCTAACCCGAATAAGTCGGTTTGCCGAGGAAGAGGCTTTAAGCCGCAGGCTCCAGGCTCCAGGTCTGGTCCACTAGGCTCAACCGTCTCGCTAACTCGACAATGGGTTGTCTTTCCCCACTTCTGTTGAAGGTAGTGGACTTTGCACTCTTAGTTCCTTGTGATCCTGCCCACGGAGTGCTCATGTTCCTGCTGGATCCAAGAGACCAGAGCCAACATTGGCAAAGAAACTCAGAAGCTCGAAGGGGTCGAATGCGGACAGACTGCAGAGCGCAGCAAACGGCTGGATCCGGGCTTTTCTGTCTGGTGCGCATTGCACGACATTGCGGTGTCTTTCGGCCTAGGACCTACACACCTCCCACTTCCCACAGCCGGGTAGGTGCTGAGACTCAGGTAGGCTGACATGGGGCCACTGGCAAGACTGGCAACAGCGATGCACCCATCGGGTCAGCTCGCACAGCATGGTCATGCCAGGGGGAACAAGCGAATGTTCTCTGGCTTGATCCTGAGTAAGGCTGCAGGCTGCCAACGCAAGTCAAGAGAGCTCTAACAACTCGGCTGTGAGGCAACCACTTCAGTGCCTTGCCAGATTCCACCTGCACTTGGTACCTCTCAGCGACATCCACTTTTGCAAGGCTCGCGTGTCCAAGTGTCAATGCCTCTGCCGCTCCTCATCAAACTCAGTGACCTGCAGACGCCAACAAAAAGGCGCCATGGAACTTTAACTGTCGCGCCGCCTTCCCGTTCTTCTCGTTCCACTCTCCGGCTTGCAGGCCCTGCACCTGACAGCACCATTGTGACCACAAAGGCACCTGAAATGTTCCCCCGCACCGCCACGATGGCGCCCACGCCCAGCCGCGCTTGCGAAGGCTGGCGGAGGTCCCGGGGCAGCACCTGCCGGCGACTTCACTCAAAACAACCCAAGCATCCCATTCAGGGCAGTGGCCGCTCTTGCTCAGCCCGCCTCGTCGGCCTCTGCATCGAGACAAAGCCAAAGCAACATACCACAGGATGCGCCGTCAGCAGAGAAGACTCGAAAGCACAGAACTGCACAGCATCGATGAACACGGCGCGTCTGATGCTGCATGTTGCAGTCACTGCAAGTTGTTGTGGGCGGTTCGAGAGTCGCTGAAAAACTGCAAGCCTGCGAGTTGGTTTCAGCTTTGCTATCCGTTTCCTTGCAAGTTTAGCTGAACGCATAAAAGCACAAAGCCACAAGGGCTGCTGAAAACTACCATGGCTGGGCCCCGAAGTTCCATGTTTCATTAGCTTCGAGGCTACGGCTTTGCACAGCTGATGCTGACTCCATAATGAGGCAGTCCACTGCCCGCCTCCTTTGAGAGGCGGCAAAGATACTGCCCTGTCGCCTCAGATGCACAAAGCATGCTGTCAACGTCATGCAGCGGAAAAGCCCTGAGTCGTTCGCATCATCGAAGTCTGCAACTTGAGCTTCAATCCACCTTGCATGCTCGACAGAAGTGCGGCGCAGAACCTCCAAAAGGACAAGCGTCTAAGCAGAAGGGCTCGGAGGGCTCCTCGCCCTCGCCACGACAAACCTGCAGTACTTTCACCACCACAGGGACTGCTCCTCAGATGCGAAGAAGGCCTGCAGACTGAGAAGCTGCAGCCTGAGAAAGGAACGGGGTGGACTTCACGCTGATGTCAGTGGCAAGGGCAAGCACGGACAGCGGGGTAAGGGCAAGACAGATTTGCAGCCTTCAGTGAAAGTGGCCTCTTCAGTCGTCACAGGATGGCATTCAGGGTGCGTGGGATTTGCACCCTGCTAGCTTGCGCATTGGACGCACGCAAGTATGCGCTGCCGGCCTCTCGCCAATCTGAACCACGTATCTCCGCTTCGAAGAATCGAAACTGGCATCCCGGACGTCACCATACAGATTCCAATCCGATGAGCATCGGCTCTGCAGGGGCCTCTGCACGACGCCTTCCAGGCCGTTGTTCTCAGGCCTTTAAAGAGGCAATGCCAGGCGCTTGCCCAGCTTCTTGAAGAGGGAGGCGAGGGTGAGGGCCCGTGAGGGCATGTCCCAACTCTCAGGGCAAGGCGCGCCCTGCAGGCCACGCACACGAACGGAGGTTCCAGACCTGATTGGCGGTGTCTCCAAGCTGGCACAGACTTTTTCGAAAAAAGTCGGCGGCGGAATCTGCGTAGACGTGTCCACCTTGTTGGGATGCAAAGGCGCAGCCGAATCGCGTGCTACGGCAGCCACGCTCCAAGATTCCCGGGTGCAGGGGCTTGGACCTGAGCAGCAACGCCGGCAGCCGCTTTCCATCCGGACAGTGTCGCCAGGATCTGCAAATCCATCGGTCGTCAAGGACCCTGTTTAACTGTTGAACGTAGCTTGCGGTCTTAGCATTCATTCCCTTGTGGCCTGCGTGGACGATGCACTCGCAGCTGCCATGACTTCTGAACGTGCATCTTTCACAGCCTCGTCAAGCATGTGGCGTTCATTCATGTATTCGTGTATCACGCTTGGACATTGTATTGAACTTCGTGGATGTCCTTGCGTTCTTGCTTTACCAAGGTTTTCATTGCCTGTGTGCAGACAACCTTGGCTTTTGCAAGGGTTTGGTGGGTTTCGGAACGAAAAAGTGTGGCAAAACTTTGGTAAGGCCAAGGTGTGTGGTCGGTTTTGAATTGGCGAACTTGGTAAAGCCAAGATTATTGAAACTTGATTTTCACTTTGGAATTGGCATGTGCGAATAACCTTAATGAGCCCATGTTTGGTTGGATATGACTGGTACCGGCAATCTTGTTAAAAGGCGAAGTTCCCTGAACCTATTCCGAAACCCGAATCCGTTCATTCGAACTAAAATTCCTAAGCCCCAAATCCCACAGAATCGAATCCCTGACCCCCGCACTCCCAACCCTGAAGCCTTCAACCCTGCATGCCCCAGATTCAACTTCAAGAACTTTAGGTTGGTACTATGTGTATATATATATATGTGGCCCATATATATATATATACATATTATATATATATATATATGTACCCATATCTATACATAATTACATATGTATATACGTATACGCGTAACTTGCATACTATACATAATTCACTCAAATATACATAATATACATCATGCACGTAATTTGCATAGTGTACAGAATATGTAACACATATTTCATGCGCGTAACTTACTACATGATACAACTACATCACACACGCACAATATATATATATATATATATATATATGTATATATATATATATATATAGTATGGATACCGTGTCATACCATTGCATAGCATGAATCATAACATGACATATCACATCAAAAAATAACACAACACAAAAATAAGACAACACAGCACAGCACAACGTAGCATAGGTTAACATGTGATATCATAGCATGGCATGTCCCAGCATAGCATAGCATAACAAAGCATAACATAACATGACACAACAGACATGTAGACTTGGCATGTGTGCACCAGCATTCTAACATATATACAGATGTATAGGTTGTGCATATATCTCCAGATATGCATATTATCATCTGTATATAACTGTATTTTGCGTATGCATATATATATATATAATATTATCATCCAGTATGTGTTTGTTAATTGTCTGTGTGTTTACACTGATGCTTATGTTCGTGCTGTGTGCACATATGTATGTATGCGGACGGATGGGCGCGCCTATGCATTCTACAGGCTGTCCGACATTCACTCACATGCGTGTACACGTGCTGCCACATGCTGGTGTGATTATCGGCGTGTGCTTGCATCATTCAAGACGAATCCCAGAACTGGGCTGCCTTCGTACAAATAGTGCAAGGACAATGCAAGCACCGACCATGCTTCCTCGTACTAGAGACGCACTTGCTACTTGTAGAAGTTCTGTCGAACTTCTACTGGTACGCTTTATTATTGCATACGATCGGACGAGTACGGCGCAGCGATACAACGCTGGACCGCAACAGGCCTGGCGGCCCAGGCTATCCAGAATGATCAGCGCAGGAATTCCAGAGACCTTTCATGTTCTGGCAGGGCATCGACTCACTCGGATCACAAGTCGAGCCACCGAAGGGCCTGGAATTGCCGAGACAAGCGGTCCTTTAGCTCTTTACAGTCGTATTTCAACGCCAGCCAGTCACCTGTGCAGGCTTTGTGGGAATGCCAGGAACTCCCGCGCTGCAGACACTTCTGAGAAAGACGCCGTGCGATTCGTACCTTAGCATGAGGACATCCAGAACGAAATCGGCTTTTGAGTTTGAGAAAGAACCACTTTCACCCTTCGCTACTTGCAGTTGCGGCGCATGTACTGCCACATTTCCTTCTCGGAATTATCCTTGGTGGTTGAATATGCTTTGGGTCCTCCATTGCCTCACCCATCCCAGTGCTAGGGGTAGTGCGCTTGACACGAAGATGATTCTCAAAGACTGCTCTCCTTGGTCCGGCCATGAGATTTAAAGAGAATCAACAGTCCGTTACACTCTTCACGTGAACGTCAAGCGAGCTCTCGATGACAGAAACCTGGGTAGTTCGCCCAGTGATTGGAGAGTGTCCTCAGCCGTCACAGGTCAGGAAGAGAGCCTAAGGCCTGTGATGCTACAGCGAGAAGAAAGCTCTGGTGCGGCTCTCGGCTCTCGAGCGAAACTTAGGTCTTCTGCTTCAGTGCACCCTCTATATGCCTCCGTGCATAATTCTGGTTCATGCTTTGCATCCGGGGTTGCGACTCCCTGTCTTTCGTTCCGATCTAACTCAAACATCTTCTGCCGCCGGTGCCCCCGTGCCCCCTTTTCGTAATCGTAGCACAACAGCCGTGGTAGTCGGAATCCGCACAAGTCCGTTGGTGTTGCGCGGAACGTTTGCGCGACTTCGGCGTGAGATCGATTCCCTCCGTTCAAGTCCAAGGTCTGGGGTTGGGCCTCGGGCACTCAAGGGATACTCTGTCGGGAGCCACTGCATATTCACCAGTGCTGGTTTCCATTGCAAGACCTGCCCATGCCGCACTTGCTAGTGTCCATCTATATCTACAGACGAGACAGAGAGAGAGAGAGAGAGACAGAGAGAGAGAGAGAGCAGGGAGAGAGAGCAGGGAGAGGGAGGCTGGGCAGGCCGTCGAGATCCAAACAGCTGTTCAGGCCAGGAACGCTCAGTATGCAGCTCTACATGCGGCTTGCCCCCACACACTGTGCCTCACGAAATTGTCCATCCGAGTCGCATTGAACTTCTTCAAGAGCGGCGTGAATCCCCTGCACATCGATGCCCATGTCTGGGTCTCCGCTAGTACCAGCGCATGCTACGAACGGGGCGACCCACAAGATCGTATCTGAAGATCACATCTAGTTCCCCTGCTACCAGCAAGCTCTACACCCGTCTCTACGTCACTCTATGTTCAAGAAAGCAACACGCAAACTGCACTTTGCTTTCGCGGCTGGCCTGCAGGGCGGGCACCAGTGAGCACTGAAGTACAACGCGATAACGTCAGATGCGGTCAGCTGCTGCCTGGGCTCCGGCTCGGGAAGGGCACGCGAAGTGAGGGGGAGAAGACCCGCTGGGTCGCAGGGCACATCAAAGTCTTTGCCGCTGCGATCCACCAGCTGCAGGCCTCGACGTCCGGGCGGGGCCCCACTGACGTGTCGAGACAGGTCCTCCCAGTTTCGGTAAGCTCGCCGCCATAGCTCTGTACAAGGGTAGCCATGGTTGAGGGCTCTGTGGTCTCGGCTTGGGGAGACTGCGACTGTGCAACATGGTTTGCCTTCGTTGTCATTGTAAATTTGCTTTGGGCGGCCAGCAGCTCCTGATGGACCACTTGAGCCAGATTCGACCAACCCGACGAATCACCTAGACACCCAGCTGCGCCGTTATGGAAAACACTAAGCTGCGCAAAGCCCAGCTCTACACAAAGCCCATGGGCACTGGGTTCGGGTTTACACCTCGTCGCGCGGCAGAAAGTGCAGTGGTTAGGTAGTGGATTGAAGCATGGATTTTCAGGCGTGCACGCGATCTCTCCTTGCTATGCTCTCTGAGCATAGATGTCGCTCACAATTCTGCGAGCGTAGGCAGTTGGGCATCTGGCGCCAAGTCGTTACTTGGCCGTAGATGCCCACAAGACGCTCTCACGTATGATAAGCCCAAATCCCTCGCCACCGGCCGCTGCTCCGTCACGAGCAGCCAGGAGACAGCTGCCTGGACTTCGAGGTTCGAGGGATCCAACTCCTCTCCTCTCGCAGGCGTGACCTCAGCGCTGTCCGCAGGCCGTAAACGTGCAGGAACTCGCGGAGGCCTTGGATGACAGGTAAAGGTCGCAGACAGAGAAGCTCTAAGAGGGGAAGCACAAGAGGTTGCCTGTCAGGAGGACCGCCGCGGCATCAGCACCCTTCAATGCAGGGCTAGGTACAGGCAGTCTGGACAGAAACCGGCTGTCTGGGCAGTTGGGCGTCGGACAAGGAGCCCGCTGCCCGCAATGCAGCGTGTGAAGCAAGCGAACGCAATTCCCTGCCTCGGACAAATCCATCCAGCCGACAAAAGGCTGTTTCCGCATCAGCAATGCTCAGTTATCTCGGCTCGGGGCCACATCAATGCTTGCGAATTCTCTTGCAGGCTTCGCAGAGCCACAGCCTCAAGACATGACCACCTTCTACTGTCCAACTCCACACTGCTCAGGCAAGTCGTGGTCATGCAACAAACTGAACTCCTGGTGGGCCGTACGCCGAGATTTGATGTGGCGCTTGCTTCCACAACGCTTCACCAGAAGCGACAAGCCAAACCCGTCACCGCGGTTGAGGCCTTCGTCTTCAGGGTAGGAAGCACCAGATAATGAGCCTCTGGCAGCTCTCAAGATCATGAAGGTCGCGAGCAGAAACAAAGGCTCGTCACCTGCATTGTGACCGCTTCCTCTGGGGATCTTACATGAGTGGTTTTTTGCATGGCCTTGATCCTGTTGCGGGAGCCGCAAATGAGTGTCTCCTTTTAGGAGGGCCTCAGCAGCGACTCAAAGCCAGATCATCCGGCGACCGAGACGGAGGCCTCTGCATCCCCTCCTTCGCCGGGGATCTGGCCTCGAGGATTGCAGTCACAGCGCCAACTCAAGGCTCGGCAACCATGGCTGCTGCCTTTCGAAATGTGTAAAAGCCTGAGCACCGAGCACCGGAACACAGTGCAAGGGCACGTTCTCCGCAGTATCATGCAGTTGAGATGCAGCGCCAGGAAGATCAGTCTGACGCGGACATGGGTGAGAAGCATAGGTCCTGTTTCTCAAAGGCTACCCTACAAAACGACCCACGACCCAGCTTCTGCTGTCCCACTGTCCAATTCAGGGTTCTGCTGATAAGCTATCCATTTTGGGTGTCGGAGTGGCGCCGACCCCTTGTTCCGTAATTCTCCACCCGCTTTGCCTTTCTGTTTAGCTTGTGTCCACACTTTGATTACCCCGCTAGAACCTCCAATCCGCCTGTTCCTGTTGCCCCACATCTTGCTTGTCATTTCCTGTCACAACAAAAAACCAACAGTGCCCCCATGAAAAAGTACAATCTCTCCTGTGAGATTTCAGGCGCCCATGGAAGAAGCGTGCTCGCCTGATACATCCACAGCATCGCAGCGGCAGGGTGACATAGGAGGGTGACCAAGCAGCAGGCAGCCTGCTTGGAGTTTCTTTGAGGCGCGCCCTGCGCGCTCCGCGCCACTTGTGAGCCCGAAAGATGTGGAATGAGGGGGGTTGCAAGGCTTCAGCACAATTCAGCACAACAGGCGTTACATCAGCAAAGCATACTGAGCCCTGATGGCACGAAAGTGCATTTCTGCTTCGCAGGACACCGATCTTGTGGCGAAATTTCTCAAAGGCCTGCAGCTGCGGCAGAGCTAGTACTACGTCTTGATCCACATGAGAAGCGTCTGTCAGTTCCATGCTCGAAGCCAACACTGGGCTAGTGCAAACTAGATATGTCTAGCAGAAGATTGATACTCACAACCTCTCTTATACACACCGACGCACGCGTCTAACTCTGCAGCTCAGCGGAATCACGCTGCTGCTTTCTGTAAAGCCGGCCATTCTCACAGGAGCTGCAGTCGCTCAATCTTCATACACTTTCCGGGTGTTGCGGGCCGGGTGGTAGTTCTCCTTTGAACCACGGGGCCGACAGCTCCTGCAGGAAAATGGGAACAGCATGACACTGGCGTTGTTGAGACACTATAGTTGCCTCCTTGGATAAAGTGTGTTGGCCGACACTCGTGAACCCAGGATTGCCGTTTGTATAGGGGCATTGGCTATGTCATCCCTTTGCACAAGTTTGGTTGCTGAGTTGGGCCTCATGGCATGTCTTCCGGCCAGGGTGTAAGGCTCAGACTTAAGGAAATACACATCATTTGCACAATGGACAAGTCAACGCAAAGCCTGTTGCCTGGTAGGGCAAGGCATTCGCGATCAAGTTTCCAAGCGTGCTTACAGTCATATGCTTGGAAAGGACTATGGCATCCTGGATGCATCAGCCGCCCACAGATGCAAGTCTTGAAACATCTCATGTTCTCTTGAAGTTCCGTGCTTGACGGGTACTTGTTTGATGATGCTTCAAAGACGAGCTTGAACATGTCGAGTGAGCAATGCGAGGCGAATGACGCCAGCATGCTCTTGTTGCCTCTGCAACTGAGTCGCTTTAGCAACAGCGAGATACCACGTCTGTCCTTGCCGCAGGATTGCGCCTCTAGACCGACATCTGATGCTGACAGCCATCTCACAGAACTGCGCCTACCAGACGACCGACAAGAGCTTCCTTTTCATTCAAAGCCGGTGCGACTAGTTACTAGTTGAGCTGCGGACTGTACTTACCTCTCCAAGAATTCTGCTGATACTCGAGACGAATCGAGTAGTGTTCGTGGAGACAACACAACCAAGACGGCCTGGCAAGACGGCATCCGCTTTGTAATCCAGCGCTTCGCGCCAAAAGTCAGAAGTCGTGTCCAAGTCGGATGGACATGCAACGCGGTCGTGGAATGCAAGGAAACTCAACTAGGCCTAAGTTGATGTCTTGTCTTCGCTTGCAATATATCTGGTCCTGTTTCGCCCTTGAACCCCTCGTGGAAAGGCACCTTCAGCAATCGCTTCAGTGAAGAACGTCCCGAGGTCTGCAGATGTCAATACAATCCACCCTACTGGCCCAAAAACATTACACCCAGCATGCTTCATATCGGAATGAACCGTATCCGCGTGTTGGCATTCCCACGAAACCACATGTGCCTCAAAGCACTTCAGGTCATCACCTGGCATGGGAACCGGTCGCTCTGCTAAGATGTCACAACAGCAATCACCTCACTCACCTGGTCCCTGTTCAGTGTGCATTGTATGCGCACTTCAGCCTGTGTCATGCGTATTGGGCTAAGAGTGGGTGACCGCCTGCGACCAGCCCGCCCTTTGCCTTTGAACCCAAAACAAAACACAGTATTGACCTGCTGGCATCTGCAAAGGGAAACCAGCCAAGCGCCAGACCACCCTCCATTCGCCCACCCCCCCCTCAGCCCTTTTCGTGCCGGCAAAACCGTCTGCACAAGCCTCTTAAGTACCAGATGAATACCTTTATTCTTTAAATATCTTCCTTCGTCAGCATTAATCATCAAAAGCGTTCTCAAAAGCGAGGACTCTCCTCTTAAAGTACCTCCCTCCTTCCTTCAAAAACAGCAGCGCTGCAGACGGGGCCATGGACAATGTAATGTGCTCGGCGTCGCTTTGACTTTGGAGTGACGGCCCTCTGTACAGAAGGCATCTTGCTATTGCTGAACTTTTCTCCGTCTCATTTTGAGTGTGCTGATCTCGCCTGCTCTCTTGTGCTGGAACTGAACACTCACGTATGCCGGTGCTGGGCTCGTGCACAACAAAATGGCTAGTGCAACCTCCAGTGATAAAGCCCCGGCCGGCATTGGCTACATGAACATGCTTAGCTGCTTGATTTGCAGAGCTCGTGGACACAACTGACGAAATTACACTGCCGGCTTACGCTGTGTCCATCTTCTCTGCGTTGAACCACAGTCACGGACGCGAACTTGTTCGGGTCGATCTTGCATCCACACACCACAAGTTCACCACGAATTGCAATTTGCAAGCTGAAGAAAGGCAGCCTTCTTGTTCTTGGCTTTGTACTCCTTGTAATTCGACTGCGCTTTGCCTTGTACTGTGGCTTGCGCTGACTCTCCATTCATACAACTTAAACGCCTAATGCCAAATACACTCTGTGTTCACCAAGCCGCTTCGCTCGGCGGCCGCCTCGAAGTCCTTAATGCGCTCCTGCCAGCATCCCGCTGCAATCGCGCGGTAGACGGACACATGGAAGATGATAGATGCTAGCATCTACGACAAGTTGCACAGAGGGCCTGTAACAGTTCCGAGGGTACGCAGGTTGTAAGATATGCTCCCTAGCATCCTTCAGCCAAGGTGTGTGAAGATATACTGTGCCACAGGTAGCAGCATGTTTGCAAAACCGTCACCCCATGGTGCGTCGGCTTTTGCTCTAAAGCCTGTTGCCTCGTCTATGGAGTCAAAGATGTCAAACTTCACCAGCTTCTTCATGGATGCCTTCCGAAAGCATGATGAGAATCGACCATTGAACATGTATACCGGGCTGCTTACTTCATGACATCGCAGAAGAAGCTGAGATCCTGACATCTGCATCGGCAAGGCCTCCCACCAAGCAGTGAAAGCTCTTGGAAGCTTGTTGGCTTCCTCGCACCGAAAGCCGACAACCCCTGACGAGCCTGGCATCGTTCCAGGCAGGGTCATTGAGGGTTCTGGCCGTCGCTCGTCAGGACGGAGCTCACCAGCCTCCTCCTGAGTTGCTAGCACCGAGCGGACCGGAAGCTGTAAGCGACAAAATCTCGCCAAGCAGCTGGGGGTGGCATCGGCGTTGGGGTGCTCATGAATTTCGCCCGGTCTTTGGGAGTCCTTATCATATCAGCACTGGCATTGACCTTGAAGCCTGGAAGTGGGAGCTGCGAGCAATGCGAGTGGCAGCTTCTTCTCAGGAGAGAGCCGGTTCTTCTTCACAAACTTCTTCAAAGCCTTTCGTCGAAATACCAGCCGCGCAGCCCACCCCACACGCCAAGATTCAGCTTCGATCGCCTCTGTCGCCTCCTTCTCGGAAAGGACTGGGGCATATTCAGGGATGCCTGAGGGCATCATGGCCTGCCAACAGAGGCTTCCCGAAACAGCACACGGAACGAATACCGAAGCTGGTGTATCACATGTACATGTCGCGCCATATTCCAGATTTCAATTCTCACGGTTGCCTCTCTGCAGCTGACAGCAAGCTACATGCTGCAGCTTGTCTCGGAGACACTGACATGAGGAGCGCGTTGCCTTCGTGCCTCCTGTTGCTGATGCCTGCACAGCCCTGTTTGGGAACTGGCCGGCTTGCTCTCAATCATGCACTTGACTCCAGACTGTTCTCAGGCAGCAAGCAGTGGGCAGCTGAAGCTGCCAAGCGTTTTCCCCAGAAGGAGCTGTTTAAGATCTCAGGCATGCTCCGCCTGCTTTCATCGCTGATGTGCTGTGGGACCAAAAGAACTGGCCCATACCAGAAGCTTCAAGCATCACCCCGTCCCTGTCCGAAGAACCCCCCCCAAGATCCTCAAAGTTCGAATGCATCCTGCATCACCCGAGGCCCCAAGCCTTAGCCAAGGCCAGGGCAAGCGAGAATCTTGCTGAGGATCCGAGGTGGATGATGCAAGGCGCAGGTTCCACGTAGGCAATCTGGCTGTGTTTCTGTTCCACAACATGTTAAGGGTGGAGGGAACGCGACTGCTGCTGCACTGCTGAACGAGTCTTGCTGCACTGCAAAAAGGAGCTCGAGCCACACTCACCAAGCCGAGTTGGGCATGGCCTGGCACTGGCAGCCACGACAGGTTCGCAGTGGTCTCTGGCCCGGTCTTCCTTTTCCTGTGCTGAGCATGCTCTCGGCGATGGGAGCCCCTGCCATCTTCATGGGGCCATGTCACGTAAGCAGGGCGCGGTGGCTCTCTCGAAGTCTTGCTATTTGCTCACTTAAACTAAGCTAGCCCTTATCAATGACAGCATGGCACGTAAAAGTGGCATGCGACTCACTTCTTCATCTCGACGGCATTGACGCGCGCCCCAAAGTTCAGGGAGCACATGGACTCCTCGTATAGCAAGGCCGGATTGCTTGAGGACACAATGCCTCACACTCCGAAAGAGCGTCCTCGACATGGCTGCCGCAAGGATTCAGCTGAAGCAGCATCAATGTCTTGGAGTCCCCGCCCAAGGAGTCCTCACATTTCCGATCTTCTTTCGGGAAGGCTCAGCGATGCAACACAGCAGTCCTGAAGGAAGTGTGTAAGCACCGAGTTTCGATAAGGCGTGTGGCCCTGCTTCTGCGCCTGACAAAACAGATGATCGGAAAAGTCAGCTGATTGCTCCGCACAACTCCCAGTGACCCGTGCGGCGATGACATCTCCCAGTGCACTGAGCGACTTGTTGATGGCAATGGCCTTCCAAGGAATCGAATCTGGTACACTGTCCACGATGTTGCACACAGGAAGACTGCGGGACCTCCTTGGCACGGTCTCCCGCAACGCCAGACTTGGCCAGACGCTCGGAGCCTGCCAGATCCACCTCCGCAGGCAAAGTGTAGACTTCCTCCCTGCCGCTTCTGGCGCTTAAGATCCAAGGATATCCAGGGCGCACCAGAGTAATGGCCGACAAGAACTGCTTGCCGTCAGGATTCGTCATCGTCCCCAAGATTTGGACCTTCGGGACCCCCGCTAACAATTGAGGCTCGGTGTCTGGTCGGCATGCTATGCCCGCTACACTGACGCAATCTCGGATCAGGGCAGCAAGGTGCGAACGAGATGAGTGCAGATTCATGTCCGTGGCAGCAACCGTTCGATTCCTCAGCGAATACAGCACAGGAAAATGCTAATTGAGAAAACTCAGAGCAGCCCTTGAAGTGTAAGTCCATGGCGTCTGAGCCGTGCTAAGCAGCATCTCAACTTCCTCGGCGTTGTTCACCGGCCTGATCGCAGGCGGCCACCCTCACGGTGCCTTTGTTTATGCCGCTTCTCTTTAAAGCAAGGCTCTGCATCGTCAATCCGGGCACGTAGTTCCCTTCCTTGCCCTGCCGGACCTGCACTGAGGCCGCTGAGGTGTTCCATCTCTGCACACTTCAACCTCTGAAAGCCGCAGCCAAAGCCGCCAAAGTCGCCTGAAGCTTCTGCTTCTTGTCGCCGGGCCCGAGAAGGAGGTCTCGAATCTCCTGGGAGCCGAGCGTTGGACGCGGCTACCGAAAGCCCCGGCTTCAGAGCCTCGTTGTAGATCTCCACGCAGGCCTGGCAGCAGAAGCCCAACGGAGCTTTCCACCCTCGCAGCGACGCAAAGCTGCCCTGAGCAGCGCACACCCTTGAGCTCAATCTTCCAGCCAGTCCTTTCTTTGGCCACCTCTCGGTGGTCGTTCGCAAAAAAGTGCATGGAGGAAGAGCCAGGGCAAGAAAGCAAAGGAAGAACGAGGTGTCAAGTACTGAAAGGCCTGAACGTGAAACAGTGGGCACACCCAAAGCCTTGAAGAGCTCGTTGAAGGTTCGCGTGTAAACGCCAGGATTGTCCCTGAAGAGCTGCGGGCATTGGAAAAGGGCTGTGGCGTTTGCAGGCGACAGCAGCTCCAAGTGGAAACATCCCAGCTTCTTCGTTCGGACGTGTTGGCAAACGACACAAACTCGCTGACTGTCTGAGCTGCAGTCCTTGTCCCCTGCATGGAGTGCGTTTTGCCAGAGCCCGTCTGACCGTAGGCAAACATGCAGACGTTGTAACCTGGTTGTCGCATCTCAGTTGTGGTGTGTCTATGTCTCAATGCCAGAAAGGAGGCTGGGGAGACAGCCATCCAGCATCGAGACAACTAAATCCCGGATTCCAGTGAAGAGATCTTCCTGACATGAGCTGAGAAGCATTGTGTCAAGTCACCGGCTGAAACCTGTTCATATCCCTTCGCAAATCTGAGGCATGCAAAAGCCAGAGGCCGTATGAAAAGCTTGGACTCACACTGCACAAGAAGCCAAAAAGACCGCGGGAATTGGGCTATGATCTCAGGCAGTCGGGCCTGACTCGAGTTTTGTCGATAGATCTCGTTGAACTGGAAGCTCCTTTGCAACAGAGAGAAAGAGAAAGAGAAAGGGAGGAGAGAGAGAGAGAGAGATACAGCCAAAAGAGAGAGAGAGAGGGTGCGACTGTTCAAGACCACAGAACAAAACACCAGACCTCGATTATCCCGAAAGCAATGAGTTCGACATTTTCAGGGGACGCTCATCTGGCCGTGTTGCAAGTGCTGCATCGTCGGTGCTGCGATGTAGTGCTGTCTAAGTGCCGTGTAGGTGCTGTGGTCTTGGTGGCGGTGCGGGTGCTGGTTGTGATGTGGGCGCTGCATGTAGCTGCCCGCAGAGGGTTCATCGGCGAGCTTGAATATTCGCGCGGCACAGCGAGAGTGCGCGAGAGGGCTTCGACATGCACGATCCCCGCAGAGAGTTCATCGGCGAGCTTGAAAATTCGCACGGCACCACAGGCGCTTCGACCTGCACGATCCCTGTAGAGGGTTCATCCCGCCGAGTAAGTAAAAGAGATTGGCGGTGTCGGGCAAGTGTTTTTTCCAAAGAACCCTTCGCGGTGCTTTCGAGCCTGTCGGGAATAACACAGCAGAAACTCGGACCTGAAGCAACATGTTACAAGGATCTTGGCAGTGCTCCAAACTCTGTGCCGAAGGTGTAGTAATGAACTTGCAACAGCTTCACAAGATATGAGCAGTACTCATCTCAGGCTGAGACTTCTTGGTGCCCATGTCTGCATTGCTGATCTGGATCTGTCACAGGGATGGGCTGTCGCGGCTGTCATAGACCTGCTTCGAATCACACCGCATGCGCCTCATCTGGTCCTGGAAAGCTGATGCAGCAGCCGTGGGCTGCCCTTGTCTTGCTGAGCTCTTTACGGGCAGGCAGCTCTTGCCCTTCAAAGGCTTCTGAGGGCTCGGCTCTGCCTCTGTCATCGGTCGAACCCGGCAGTACACACGGATGTTGCCTGCTTCGCAGCCGCGAGTCTTTGTCTCGCCTACTGTGCCGTCGAGCTTAAACTAGGCCTTTCAATTCCTGCACCAGGTTGTGCAACCTCGATACTCATCCTCACAATAGTGCTTGCGAGTGACCTTTTGCAAACAGCGAACTGAGTCGATGGCTTGCGTCTTCTGTCACACTCGATAGCGTACTTCTCTTTCCACTCCTGCACTCCAGCAGCGAAGCTTGCGCTATTCAAGATACGCCGTTGTCGTTCGTTCTGAGACTTGGCCCGGAAGTTTAAGTTGGGACTAGGAAACCGCTGACATGCGCCGGTGCAACCTCAAGGCTCACTCGGAGGCAATGAGATGTCCATGACAGGGGCGATTCGACCCGACGGCTTCACTTTGAGAAATGGCTCAAAGCGCTGTCCTGCGATCCTTTATCCAGCAACTTTTGCAGCTCTGCTGCCTGTACCGTGCTGTCGGACTGCTCAAACGATTCGCATGGGCGCTTTGTCCATGAAATCAATTCCTTCTGGCAGCCTTGCTTCGCATGACCTCTTCCAACACCTCCAGTGTCACAAACTGAGCTAGTCCCGATGGGAGGAACCTCTAGAACCAAGCACCTGCGGTAGCTGCTGTTGAATTTCCACCGCCACCTGGCGAAGGTCATGAAGCCCGGACTATGAAAGTGCTCTGGAAACATTGCATGGACTGCAGATGCAAAGCTCCGGGGCGAATCGTATGTTTGCTCGAAGTTCATATCGCCACATGACTATCACGTTCAAAGTAAAGCGACAGCTTACTAGTAGGCAGTGATGAATTGAGTCAACCAAGAAGGTCAATAGAGTAGCTGTCCCTGTGCACGCGGTTGCAGTCAACATGACAGGAGTGCCGTCGCTCGCATCTCAGACACTTGCTTCTTGCCTGCGACCATGTAGAAAACCGCACGGCTCACGATCACAACTGGCAGGTGCCCGCTGAGACGGGGAACATGCAATGAGAACCACAGGCTCATGACTGACACTCGCTGTTGCTTCAGAGCACTTTCCTCACACAAGTGCAAAGCAAAACATGCTCAGGTTGTGTGAGCCTAGCGCCTACCGTCACTACCGTCGCACGAGGTCTCTGCTAACAACCAGCGGACGCACCGTTGGAAACCCGTCGCAACATGTGTGAAACGATTCGTCGCCGTGCCATCATGGAGCCGGCAGTTGGTCTGCCAGCTCACAAATGCCTTGAGCAAAAACTCCCAAAATGGCTCTCACAAGGACAGGTATGCGTTCTTGCAGCCGAGCAGCCACGAGAAAACATGGCACGATGCCCCAGAGGCTTGATCTCGCACATGTCCCACAAGGCAGGGTCGATGGCTCCTTGGAGATAAGCGAACAGCCGTTTCAACAAGGCATGCTTACAAAGATAATCCAGTGGAGGCGGGGTACTAACGCCAGCACTGCCAGCACCACCGACTTTCATCGAGAGGAGCCGTGAGGTGTCGGCTTTGAACTTCTGCTTCAGCCTCGGATGCAAAAAGTCTCGATGTTCTTCTTGCCAAGACTGGATGGAAATCTTGTTTGCTTTTCCTGATCTTGGCTGCTGAGCTCGACACGCTGGGAAGTACTGCAGGAGAACTCCTCTGCCTGCAAGCGAAATCGGATTCAATTCGCCACCACTGCTCACGTGTACACGCCTTTGTCAAGGCCGCGCAACCACTCTCGGAATTGCTCCTGCGGCACCGCTAGTTGCACTTTGTTGCTTCACCCATGGCAAAACGCATGACTGCCCTGCACTTGTTCAAGTCCTCCAGCACGGCCTGGTTGTACTTGCTGCGAAAATACCTGCAACATTCAATCCGCAATAGCTCTGCCTGTCTCTGCCAAGTCCTGCAGCAGCAAACCTATATAAACCGATGATCCGGATAATCCGGATCAAGCTTCTGTCAGAGGCCCGGACTCTTCGAGCGCTGTTTGCGGCAGCTTGGAAGCACTGCCATCCTGAAATCCAATAGGGCTGCTCTCCGAGACCTCTGCAGCACAGTGGCACGGACCTGCTTCGACCAGTAGACATAGAGAGCAGTGTCCTGATCATGCAAATAGACCATGTTGCAGACTGGTAACACGAAACTCAAGAAGACAGTTAGAAGCAATGCAAGTCTGCGCCAACAAAGCTCCTGCTTTTCATAAGCGCTCACCTTGACTTTCTCGTCTTGAATCGTCACCCTCTGACAAGCGTCCACCATGGCCTGCACACAAGGAGCCGGTATATGGTGCCGGACAATATGTGCGAATCGCCTGCCGCACTCTCGCGGTAGGCACTGTGACGATCGCAGCACCGTAGTTCTGATTCTTGAGAACCAACACCCCCTCAACCTCGAGACGCTTGAAAATACAGGCACAAGCACTGTATGTGTTTGCACGCTGGTTGAACCCGTGGCTCAGGCGGGGATCCGGAAGCCCTTGCTTCCTTGGATAAACGGCGAAAAATTGCCCAGAAGAGCTGGTTTGCTCACTCCAGCCGAGTAGCTGTTTTTGTCGTGTGGCTCCGCGGTCTCTGCGAAGGAATTTTTTTGAGGAGCCTCCACAAAATTAAGTGAAGCGCACAGGCTATGGCGGCTATGGTCCTGATTCGTTTAGCTTAGGTTAGCTCCATCCTGCCTTCGAGGGGAGCGCCGACTCTGGGTCGGAAGGGCCAGTGGTGCGCACGCGCTCCGGCTCCGTGTGCTCCGCGGGCTCCGCGTGCTCCGCGGGCTCTGCGGGCTCTGCGGGCTGCAGGGGCTTTGGCGGGGGCTCTACTGGCTCCGGCCCGCGTGTGCTGGGTCGTGGCCGTCGCCGGCTCGGCCGAGGAGCCACAGGAGCCACAGGAGCCGGAGCCTCGCAAGGCTCCGCTGGCTCCGCTAGCTCCGCTGGCTCCGCTTCCGGCTCCTCGGCCTCCTCGGCCTCCTCTGGGACTGGGACGAGGGGAGGGCTGTCGTGCAGCTTCCATTTCGTGGACTCCTCCGTCGGCGCTTCGGCCTCCGCCTCCGCCTCGTCCTGCGACCCACTCGAGATCTCCTCGAATAACCCCTGCAGCCTCACGAGACTCAGCAGGGCTGGGGACACAGCGCGGTGCATCGGTGCCTGCTCAGCAACTTCTCCTTCGAGTCCACGTCGCCATCTTTCGAGGACGGAGATCGGGGGGTGGCGGCCGCTGCGGAAGCAGGCTGCTCCAGGGATTCCTCCGGAGAAGCCCCGGACGGAGCCTGAACAGGTCGCATCTACCACGAACCGTCTCCTGTAAAATGCTCCCTGAAGTCGCAGCAGAGCCTCAACTCGTGAAGCCACCAGCGAAGCCGCAGCAGAGGACTCGAGCACATCTCCATCTGGCACAGGTGGGCCATGGTGGGCCCAAATCTAGTATATGGGAATCCGAGGGTTTCGGGAACTCCCGAGCCTGCATCCGGATCCCGGCTTCCCGATGGCACGACCCCAGCCCTGCATCTTGGTGAGACACAGCGCAAATTGCCGACCACGTCCCTTCGGCCTCCTGGCTGTGTCTTCTTTTCCACCTGGCATGGCCGATCGCTGGTGTTACCAGCGTACTACCGACGGCACCTATCCACTCCAGGACCAAGCTCCACATTGCAGACGTGCCGGAAAAACTCGGAGATCCAGCCTTCCGATTCCCGTCTACTGCGCTTTGCCGCAGCCTTTGGCCTGGCCTCGACAGCTGAGCGCTGCAGCAGACCAGGACAGCAAAAACCAAGAGCCCCACGGCAAAGAAGGTCTCCTTCCTCTTCCGACCTGGGCTTCGGCTCGATCGCTTGGATCTGGGCCTCTCAGAAAGTTGCTGCGAGGCTGTGAGTTGCTGCGAGTTGAAGCATGACGACCACGAGTCCTCGTGAAGGGGCTTCTCGACGTTGGCGGACTGTGCTTATGACGACCTGTACGCGTCGGAAGCTGGTCTCGCTGCAACAGGACCCCGTGCGAATGCTGGATCCAGACAGCTCAGACTCGCGTCACCTGATGGGTGTGTCTTGTCTGCTTGTTGTGTCCTGCCGTCTGCAGGAGGATGACGATCACTACAACACTGCACAATGACATCTACTAAACGCTGCAGCCAGCACCAACTAACGAGAATGATCGAGCGCTGGATCAGCAGAAGCCGCAAAGACCTGACTCAGCCTAGTTGGACCGCCACAGCAAGTTGCTCAGTCTTGTAGTTTTTCACCGCAGCAGTCAACGTCGAATTTCAGGAGCCACAGTTCTGGTGCAAAGCGCAGGCTACCCGCGCTCGGAGCAGTTACGAGTAGAAACGAAACTATGTTTGCAGCTTTTGTGTCACTAGCATGGTCTTCTGGCGGTTGATGGAGAGCTGCTTTAATTAAAACCCTGCAATGCTGGGGATCTCCTGATGCTGTGCTTTGCCTTGTTCCTCCTCTTGCTTGGAGCTGGATCGCTCGCTTTGTCCTGCACAACTGACTAGCGGAGTTAGAAGTGTTAGTACCAGATGCTCGGATGCTTCTTTGCCCGAAAAAAGCCATCCACCTTTCCAAGGGCGCCAAGAACTTGCTCTTCATAAAGCTTCGCTTTGACGAGATCCTGGCAACGGCACCAAGTCTTGACCACGTTTTGACGGTGTGGGACGTGAGCCAGTCCGTGCGAGACACCTTGTCGACGCCGATGCCCTTTCTGTAGTGGTTGCTGAGATGTGCACAGGCAATCGCGTTGTGCCTGAAACGAACCAAGGCCACGCCAGAGTAGCACAAACCCTATATACAAGGCTTTGCACGACGCTGCGGACTGTCTTCATGTCTGAAACCCAGCGACGGGTCTCTCCGCACAGCAGCGTGAAGCATGCTCACACTCAGTTCCTGAGCTCAGTGGTGAAATGGAAGCGGGGTCTGCTTCACGCACAGGGCTTACTGGAACTGTTGAAACCTCTCCGTACAGAATCCTGGCTTATGCCGAAGCGCCACCTCGCCTTGCAGCCATGCTTGTCCACTCCGCTCAAGCATCATTCTTGCCGACCCACCTTCGCCTGCAGGCAGGCGAGTCTTGCGCACGTTGGTTGGCACGCACATGGCCAAATCAAGGCATGAAGTGCTGAGCATGTGGCTGGACGAGTAAGATGACAATCTGCAGAGCGGACCTCAAGAGAGTTGCAGTTGCAATTCTCAGACCCGACGCTGCCACCGCGATCGTGATCGGTAGCCACTTCAGGCCCTGGCAATCATCGTCGCTCTTGCAGTACCTGCGCATCTCCTTCGCCAGCTGTGGGAAAGCTGAGCATGGTCGAGGGCTCGGACGCACACTAAAGACTCTGTTAGGTCCAGTTAGGGCTTAGCCCCCAGTACAAGCGGGGTGGCCTTGGTTCGGGCCTGCAAACTAGACTCCCTTTCTGGATGGCTGTGGGCTTGCCTCAGTAGGCCGGGCTTCTCACACTTTCTGCGGAGCTCTTGAAACACGAGGATTTTTCGCAACAACCGGGTTTACCGGGTTACCACCGCCATGGATACGTGCCGGCGCCTGGATGCAGTCTTTGTGGAAGACATGCTGACAGCGCAGGGTCTTGGTGCGGCCTGACACATCTTGCGGGAGTGTGACCTTTTGGGGTTCTAGGAGTCCCACCTCGGCTAAGCCTTTGTAAGCACAGCTTGCAGGACTCCATGGCAGTGCCGGCCATCTCTCCGCAAAGAGTTTGTGGCAAGCATTGGGGCGCCGTCTAGGTCCGAGACTCTAAGCACCTGAAGCAACCCAGAAGCCCGATACTCCCAGGCTCAGGGCCAGCAGGATGATCTCTGGTCAATATCTACACTAATCCGCTCATCTACTACAGTACGATGAAGCGCTCAACAGGCTGCTCATGTCAACCGGGCGACTTCCGGAATCAGCAAGTCTTGTGTGATGGACATCCAGCCAATGGCTAATGGAAAGCACACTTCAGCACGGCAATGCATGAAGAAATCGCATCCCGGTCCCCAAGTGACACAGTGCCTGCTGCGATGGCGGATTGGACTTTGGCCACAACCTGTGGAGGCAGCGCCCTCCCACCTGCTGATCGGAGCTTCGCCTGCCGCGAAAAACGACGGCTTTGGATTTTTCTCACGGAGTGTTCGCGGTCCCTTTGCCTCCAAGTCGCCCTTCTCCGAATCGAGTTTTTTGTAGGCCTTCAGCTCACCAGGCCGCCACGGACGACAAGTCCACATGCACTCTGGCAGCAATCCCGTTTTGCGCCGCGTCCGCTTTGCGTGGACCCTCCTTCCGCTACATCTCAGGTGCGCAGAGCGTGTTGATCTGAGCAGCAAGCGAAGGCCTGCGGTGAGAGGCTTCAATTCAAAAGGGACCCGAATCTTCAAGAACACGCAGGGTCACTGGCAAATACAGTCAGCCACAGCTTTGAGATCACAATCCTTGGTCACGACGAAATCGTTTGGGAAGGAACTCCGCCACGGCCGCATTGCGACGTAAGGCAGCCAGCCAGAACCTACCTAAGAAATTCTGCACTTGGAAGGCAATGGACGATATGGGAACACGACCGCCTCGATACTTCCACATGCAAGAGCTGGCAAACCCAAGGTGCGCTTTTGCTTCAAGTCCTGCATAGGAGAACTCTCAAGTCTACACAAGTTAGTCGCCAGGAATCCTGCAGAGGTGAGACCCTGCCACCCGGCCTCTGCAACAAACCTCGCTAGGGACACAGGCAGGATTGCGAGAAGGACGGATGAAGCAACAACACTGTGATCAGCGAAGTCGCATTACGGCAGAAGGGTTGCTGGCCACAGCAGCACAAGCAATCTGCAAATCCTCCCGGAATTCGGGCGCTGCCCACCTGCAGTAAATCCCCGTAAAGGGAGATGGTGGGTTCAGCGATCGCGGTACAGCAGAAGCCGAGCGGCTGCAGCACAGATCCGCTGCTGCGGACGGCTTCAAGGAAGACATCGCGCCGACTGCGAAGCTGTCTATCTGCGTAGACGACGGCGAAGCCTGAGACAGTCTCCGAGGTTCGCTGTCAGGTCAAGTTTTCCGGATTTTCCAAGCCACCATTCTGCTTCACTGCCGCAAGGACAACTTCTGCGTCGGACTTCAGGCTGCCTGAGGACTCGCCGAACCAGCAACTTAGGAATGTAATGCTTCTCCGACATCCACCCTCGCCTGAAGCATACTGCAGCATGGTCCCCTCCTGACGCACAGCAGCCATTACCACTTCGCGATCGTCACGCATTTCTGGGCATGCATAGCCCAGCCTGCAGCAGTTGGGCACTGGCTCACCTACACGACCACACCCACTGCTCACCTACCACTTAGCCGAGGTACACAGCACTGTTGCTCACCGCCGCCAGCACGATGTCACCTTGCGAGAGCACTTCTGCATGCCTCATGACCACGGTCTCAAGGTGTCGGGGTGGCGATCAATCTGCAGGTGCTCGTTGATTCGGTTCAGCAGGAAGCCATCGTTGCTGACAGCTGCCAGCGCCACCTTCTTTCGACTTGCCCATACGCTTCGCTCTGTTCCTGAAAGCAAGTCGCGGCGAGCCTCTCGATCTGATTTCACCGAATCCGGCAGGCTTTTGAAGATTTTTGCACTCTGCTTGACCGCCGCAAGTGCAATGAGGGGATTGGTCTGCGCGAGCTCCGGTGCCACGTGCTGAAACGCCACGAAATCCGATTTCACTGCTGTGAGTGCAATCTCCGGATCACGCTTCCTCGGCTTGTGAAGTTGGTGCAGATGAAGCATAATTCAAACACCTTGCACCTGCAAGAAAGACTGGAGTGGCGATGGGTTAAGAGACTAATTAGCTGTATGCCCAGCATCAGGTCTTCATCAAGGACAAACTTCAATGCCTGACTTTGAGCACATGTTTACCTTGAACTACTCAACCTGAGCACCTCAGCCAGGCCTGGCCATAACTGCAAACGGCAGCGAGCCTGGAAGGGAGGGGTTGGGATTTTGGTTGAGGCGAAGAAAACGAAAGAAGGCACGAACAGACGCAAAAGAAAGCCGCGAAAGGCGGTGTGGAAACGAGAGAAGAGAACATCTTCGACCTGATTGCTCGTGTGCTAGTGCAAAGCGCTCAGCTCCAAGCACCACTTCCCGGTCTTTGCGAAAAGGCGGTGCCAAGTATCTCCAAGAGTGCTGCAAGTTTACGAAGCCAGATCATAAGAACGAAGTGTGCTGCCTTAGAGCTGCACCACTGCTCTTCACTGCAGCCAAGGCTATTTCTCGGTCCTGGCTTTGCGGAGCATGCTGAATCATGGACCAGATGTTGGGGTGCTTGTTGTGCCACGGTTTCTTGGAACGTCGCAACTAGGCTTTGTTCAGTTCACACCGAAACTCGATCGGAATTCCCACGAGTGGCTTAGGTTGATCCTACAGTATCAAACATGCCTTCAATCTCGGCAGGACCAGAGAACTACCGTTTCTTTTGCAACACAACTTGATCACAGCTCCTCGAGTCGTGCCAGCGGCCACTCGAAACCTTTTCAGAACCTGGCTTTTGTGAGAATCTTGACTCCTAAATTGGACCTGGTGCAACGTTGCGACTCTTCCACTTCCAGTCTCCAAGGATTTGACTAAATACTGTATCTCTCGAAGATCAGTCAAAACAGCAATCCTCCGTACGAAATGGTACAGTTCACGGCCAAAGTCTCGTGTGGCTCGATTCGAAGCGGCCACACTCTGCTCTAAAACGAGCTATTCCGCGTGTTCCTGCGGGTTGGACCTCGCGAGCCTGCCGCTGAACTCTCGTTTCCGTTTTGTGCGAGCCTGCCACTGCATCGAAGCTCTCGGCGTGCAGTTTCATATTTAAGGCCCTTCCTTGTCTCTTCGAGCTGTCCGTGTTGAAGGCTTTCCACAGGTTTCCGCGTGTCAGGTCCTGTACTTTCTGGAGTTCAAGGCTTACCGATGCTTCTCGTCTTGGGGCTGACCATCACTCCGACTAAGGGCCCGCCCTTACACCTGTGATTCAATGTGTCGCACTCCGTCGGGCCTTTGGCAAGTTTCAAGTTTTAAGGTCGAGGGACAATGGTTCACGTCCGACTTTGGTGATTTCGGCATGTGGCATTCACGTCTGTCTCAATTCGATGAACGTGCATTGTCCGCCTTCTCACGCATCCCGGGCGAAGACCACTCACTAACACGAATTTCGCTTCTTTGGATGGTGCATCATGCGCCGGTCCTCTGCTAATGTCGCACTGACATATTGCACCGCTGATCCGTGGGTTGTCACGGCGCTCAGGGCCACCTGCAGGACATTCATTGAGCCCGCATGCGCCCGAATGCAGAGGGCTGGTCACAGTCAGCAGCTTCTTGTAGTCTGAATGTTGCCAAGCGGAGGAGCCAGGAGCCCCGACCGACAAGTGCTGGAGGCGTGAGGTCCACTAAGCTGCTCATAGTGCGCGGCTGGTGAAATCTCGCCGAATCATCCCGCGCCTCGCGGTCTGCCTTCAATGGCTCCGCGGCATGGCGTACCTCAATGCCACGCTCTACACCTCTCGCTGATTCTTTCGCTCATTCCTGTTGTGAAGTAAGCTCGGTGCGGCAAAGGCATCATTTGCCACTGCGGCCATCACGATTTCTCTGTCAGCCTGGCCCGGGATGCTCCTTTTAGCAGCGAATTATCTGCTGATCGTTTGGATTCGGCGGATGCGGCGTTGCCTTGAGGGAGTCGTCTAGATACCGAAGCACGAAGCCACGGTCCCTGACCGAAGTCAAGGCAATCTCCCGGTCTGCGCGCAGCTCCGGCGCCGCATGGAGGATTGCAAACCCCGTATTTCTCACCTCTCCGACAAGCTTGGGGAACTTTGAATGCAGGAAACAGCGGGAAGCTTCGATGATCTTAAGTTCTTGCTAGGCAACGGCGGCCAGAACGATGTCCCGATCTTGGCACAGCGGTTCCGGAAGGGTCTCGAGACCTGACACTTTTTGGCGTGCTCGCATTTTCAGCGTTTCGGCTCGATCTCTGGCCCTCTGCCCTCTCTGGGGCACCAGCTTAGGCCGTTGCTGCGTACCGACTGCAATGCCTTGGCACGTGCCGGGTCTTCTCGCAGCAGCACCAGCTCCAGTGACCTTGGAGATAGAGAGAGACGGAGAGAGAGCTAGAGAGTGTGTGTGTGTGTGTGTGAAAGAATGACAAGCACATGTTGGGAATGGCATAGTTTCACGGCCTCTGTCCGTATACAACTCCTGCTGTTGTTGTTCCCAAGCTCCCGAATCCCGGTCCTTTCGAAAGGGACCTGGTCGAGTGACAAACCCGGTGCAGGGCCCAGCTTGCCAAGAACCTCTTCATCCCTCAGCTCGCGCGCGCCGTAGATCAGTTGCTGCTCGATGCACGGTATCTCCGTCAGCGAGCAGACGCAAGTCTTCACATCCTGAGCTCGGCCATGTTTTCAGCTCAGCAGCCTGTTGTGCGGGTGAGGGGGGGCGGGGTGGGGCGGCATCGTCCGATTTGTTCAAGTATGCCGAGTGTCCAGAATGGTGCTTTCCACATCGCAGTGCAGGGAACAGATGAAGCCCGACAGCCCATTCAAACGTAGCTCCATGAGCGGCGGGTCTCGGATGCTTCTTGTTGAAACCACCTTAAACGCTATAAAGCCTACGGGGATGGCATGCGTATGCTGCCCTGGTTGCAACAAGGCAGCATGACTTCCACAATTCCATGGCAAATGCCAACTGCACTCTGGTGAGCCGACAACAAAGAGCGATCTAGCTTGCTGCAGTCTCCCGCAACGGACTTGTCTGATGAGTTCTGAGCAGTTGCTAGCTGCTTGAGCTTCTTCACCTGCTCCTGGCAGCACAGGCACCTGCCCCTCTTCGTGCTTTCAAAAGCCGGTTAGTCCTTCGTCTTTTCCTCGGCTGCCTCAAGATCCTGAAAAGATCTCCGTGTTCCCTGAAACCTGCATTTGAAGCAGTGGCCTTCCGGAGCGATGCAACCTCCTCAAAGCTTCCGCTCGTGCTCAACCTTGGAGCCCCGAGGCTGCGACGGGCTGCGACAGGCTTCGACCGCGTGGCAGATGTCTGGGTCTCGGGCGTCTCCGACGAGGATGGAGAGGCCTGCAGCCACACGACACAAGGCACTTCCACAGGCCAGCTTTTGCGACTGTGCATGGCCTGAGCGCCTCCCTTGAAGTACTCCAGCTCTTTCCTCAAATCTCACCAGACTCGCAGAGACTTTCCTTGTTCCACAAGCAGCTGAGCAGCCCCTGCTGATCGAGCTGTTTCGCCTGCTTCTTTGCCAACTGCCTCGGCACTCGGTGAGTTGGACTGTCAAAGCTTTGCCCACAGAATCTGCACAACGTCGTTGACAAGGTGCTCCAGCTGCTCGATGCGCGTCTGTGCCTCTGGCGAGCCCTGCACGTTTCAGCTGGAAAATATGTCAATCTTGCCTCAAGTGTTCATGTGCTTCTACCCTTCCGCATCCTTCCACCCTCCCCCTCTCTTCCGTCCTCCGCAGCACTTCCAGTGGGTCTCGGCCTCCCCTCGAGGTCTAAGGCCAGCTGGGCGACGTCCTCAAAGGCCGCAACTGACACACAAACAAAGGGGACAACCGCCGCCCGACGCCGCAGGCCGCCGCTCCTTCTCCCAGCGCTCATGGAGCTGAGCGAGCTCCGCGTGCTCCTCGGCTGCCTCCTCTTCCGTGGGCCTTGGAACTTGGGGGCAAATCTTCGCTCGCCGCCTTCGCTACCCTGTCTATCCGTGTCTGAGCATCCGGCATGCCTTGGAGCTCCCCTGGAAGCGAAAGATTCGGAGACTTTGCCTGGAACCAGGCTGCTTGGTCTTTGAGCCGCTGCGCCACAGACCTCACATCGCAACATCGCATCTTGCATGCGCAGGGTGCAGTATTATATATGGGTAGCAGCATACCAAAGAACCGAGGCACTGCATGTGAGCCAGCTTCCTCCGCGTCTTCTGAAGCTCGCCTGCCACAGCAGCCGTTAGAAGCAATAAGCCGAGACGCTCTTTTCCCACCAGCCTCGCACGAGGGCGTTCTGGGATCGGTTGACCTGCTGGAAGCTTTGCAGCTTCAGGGCCATCTTCGCCTCGTCTCCTCGGGCTCGATTCATCTCGGCCTGGTGGCAGAAGGGCCGGCGGCCAGGGAAGGGTTCAGACCAGAGCTGTTCCGCTCATGCACCAGTTTGCAGACAGGCTCACCATAAGATGCAGAAGACGATGTGTGTGTTACTCCTGCGCCCGTGCGGAGCCCGTCAAGCCTGCGCCTCCTGCAGTTGCGACTGGGCGGCTTCCTCAGTTGCACTGACATCATCATGCAGAGATGGGTTGCCTGCAGTGCTAGTGCTGACGAGAATCCAGCTGCTCCGCGAGTTGACCATACTTCTCCTCCATCTCCGGATGCATGTTGGCATCATCAAACCCCAAGTCCATCATCTGCTGCATTCTCGAATTCGTCGGCGGCAACATCGATCTGTCAGCCATTGTCGGGTCGTAGACCTGCACGGCCCGTGCCTTCCCGCAGTGTTTCGGTCCCTGGCCCTCTGCGGTCTTACGCCTGCCTTCGGCTTCTGGAAAAGCTTTTCCGCCATCACTTCACGGCCGTGGGTTGCCCAGGCAGCCGTCGAAAACCCCGCTGCTCTTTTGAGCAGTCTGTCGGATAGCGGTCTAAGAGGCACACCTTGCAGAATGGATCTCTGCTCTGCGTATCAAGGATGCATCTGTTGGAGCTTCGGCTTCGGAGTCTCATGCTTTCGTTGATGCCTGCACTACAGCTTCTTGAGCTTAACACCATCTCGTCTCGAATTCCCAAGGAGGCTCTTTTCGAAACCCTCCCGGCAAAAGTGCTAGAGCCTTCGGATGCATGCAGGGCATGTGAGTTTGGTACAAAGGATGGAGTCCCAGGCCCACGTGTTGTTCGGCACAGAGGCTGGGACATTTTCTCGGCGCACATCCTTCGAAGTTCTACGCTTTCTGCGCTTGTTGCTCGAACTCGGCTGGAAGTCGCCCTGCATGGCCAACAACACATGATCGTACTGCTGCACTGACGTCGGTCTTCCAAGATGCAACCTCCAAGCACTGGGTCGATATGTAGGACGGCAGCACCACACGCTGCCACGGTGCACCTCCAAACCAGGTCACCTCGGCAATGCCGCAGCTTCCACGGGTTGCAACACAACGACCCCCTACCGTGATGACTGAGTGCCGCCACCGCTAGCGGAAGCTCCCTTGCGGGGCGACTGCTCTTCGTCCAACGCTCTGCACAGAGGACATCACAAAGGTTCTGGCATCGCCGGTGCAAACCACCCTGAGAAAGCCCAGATGCGGAAGCTTGCAGAGCAGAAAATCAAAAACAAGAGGCCAAGCCTTTAAGGGCACCAGCTTCCGAGAGCTTGCTGCACGCTGGCGCTTTGCTCGCCATTCGAAGCGGGCGGCATCCTCCTTTGTTGGGAAACCCTTGACCTTGGCTTGCCATGTGACTCTTCAGGCATCAGTAGCTTTCGGAGTGCAGAGGCATGGTTTGCGATCATCGCAATGCAGCCAACAGCAGGGCTTGCAATCGAAAGCTGTTTGCACTCGAGCGTCCATGCAAAGCACCCGCCACGGGCCTCCCCGGCGCGTAGCCCTTGCGCCACCACGCAGCTCACCATTGTGTTGCCGCAGGCGCCTCTTGAGGTCCGTCGTGATGCCGGTGTAGGTCCTTCCCGTGCGTGCGTCGCTGACTTCAAGAGTTGCATCCAGCTAAGTTTTTACAGCCCTTATACGAGGCTCTGGAGGAGACAGAGAAGGCGGGATGGTAACTGCGTTTGGAGTTCAAAGTTCACCCAGAACAGCCTTCTGTACGGAACTTCCATGCGAGCACCGCAGTTTTCGTAGTGAAATACCGAATGTCCTCGCGCGGGCAGAGTTGTCCGACCGGAGCACATAGCAGCAGTAACCTGGAAAGCGCCGTGCCGTGCTCAACCCTGCGACAACGACACTCTCCGCCCCTCCACGCTGTCACCGGCCAATGCGGCTACCAGTTTACGTGGCAGCAGTCTATGTCAGCCAATGAAGCAGTAGCCTTCGCTGGGTGCGGCATCCTCGCTGGTCTCCTCCTGCAGGTCTGCACCGGATTCCACAGGTACGACACAGTTGCAGCTCGGGGCGACATGTAGAGGCGTGCCTCATCGCTTATCTCGATCACCTTCACCTCCCCTCTCTGCTCACCTTTTGGGCCTGCAAAGGTAGGACCCCGCATCATGCAAGGGTTGCAAAATTCGAGAATAGATGTTCACTGCCCGTCGCCGACGGAGACCGCCTGCGACTTCCTTCCGCGCTGACCGTGTTGCGGCCGCGGCGGGGCGTTTTTGAGCAGGAGCCATGGAGCAAGTTTTGTCGGGCGAGGATGGTTCAAAGGTGATCTATATACCGCAGTGCTTTTCCAAATCCATTGCGGGTTCCTAAGCCTAGCATGCAGCTGGCTACATGCCTCCTAGGTTTGATATGTTTTGACGGACGTCTGAGCTGCACGTCAGTGCATGTTATCAAAGTGCCAGATAATAACACAGTTCCGAGGACACTTCTCGCATTCTTGCCACCGCTAGCTTTTCACAGAGCTGCGCGCTTTGACGCTTTGGTTCTGCAGGGAGTCAGCCCGAACCGCGCTTCTCCTGCGGCATGCTGGGTGTGGGCTTTGACGCTTGAGGTCGCCATATAGCTCTCTTGCGGCCGAAGAGCCGCGTCGGCCGCGTCCAGGTCCGCCAAGGAGACGAGTCCAAGAAGCCGCGGCCTCGAGAAGCGACACCGAGGCGACCGAGCCGCGACACCGCAGCGCGTGTCGCCACGTGCGCCAGGGTCTTTCGAGGCAGAGGACGGCGGCAGAATTCTGAGGAAGGGACGGGGTCTCCAGAGACGGCAGGTCCTGCACAGAAAGCTTCTTTGCAAAGGGAGAAGAAGAGGAAGCAACTCGGGACAAAAAGTTCCAGAGTGGCGCGTCCTCGAAAACGGCGAGGCGCCCTCCGGGTCCGAGTCGAAGTAGCTCTTGCCGCGCAGCTTCCAGGGGCATCGACCTCGAACATCTCCAAACATATACGAGCATTCTGTGAGCACCTCATGATTCCTCAGCGCACGACGGCTCGACAGCGGAGACCTGAGGACTTTCAGCTCGAAGTTGCTAATAAAGGAACCTTCTGCCTTCTGTGCTTCTGGCATCGGGTGGCAGCTCCTGCAACGAGGCGACTGCGATAATCTTGGATGATGCACGCTCCCTCATCAAGCTGCCTCCCCAGCAGATTCGCTCTGACAGAGAAGCCTGAGAGGCTCACCTGTTTCGCGCAATCCCCCCGGCAGACAAAAAGGCTACTGTCCGATCGCGCCTTGGGAGCGTGCAGCCGGAGGTGGTGCCTGGGAGCAAACGTTGCGAAGTCCGCCGATCCGATCGTTTTCTGACATCGCCTGTGTGGAGTCTGCTGGCATCCACTGGCTCATCATCTTGGGTATGCCCCTGGACAGCAGATCTTCCACGTACACAGCCACACCTTGCAGCTGGGAGGTCAAGACCGAGCTTCGTTATTTTGGTGCATCGGAGTTCATCGCAGTAGCATCATGCCATCATGCTAAGGCTGCTAAGGACATTGGGGTCGCGTTTTGGCAAAACTGTGCCTACAGCTGCGACGGTTGGAAGAACGACCCCGTAATCCTTCCCACCAGCCAGCTCGAGGAGAAGCACCACAGCTGTCAGCGGCACGTTGCAAATAGAACCAAGGCAAGCGGCCATGCCGACGATAGCATAGGTGGCAGGTACAGAGAAGACGAATGGCCCCTCGCTCTTGAAGATAGAAAGCTCAGGCAGCCAAAGTGCCCACGGCCACATGTAATCTCGCAGGCCTCGGCCTACCAAACCTCCTAAGCACGCACCGATGAATAGCGCAGGTGCAAAGAGACCACCTACCTGTCCAGAGGACTGGCACACCGCCGTGAGGAAAATTTTTGCAACGATGAGCAGAAACAGATGAGTGAGAGGATCGCCAGCAAACGCAGCTGGCGGCTGTCGAGAGCCATCGGTCTCTTTCAATATAAGGTTCACGTTCTCAAATCCCTTGTACAAGACCTCCCCTAGGTTCCCATAGAAGGAAACAAAGGCCACCACTGCAGCAGCCAACACGGGGAAGGTGAACCTGGCAAGCGGAAAGAGGAACACAAAATTCAAAGGTTCAAAATTACACGAAGACGAAGACCTTCCGTAAGATTCCTGAAGTCGCTGTCCGGGCCTTGGAGCACCCCAAGCCTCAAGGCAGTCAAAGGCGCCTTTGGCCACTTGGCGGGTGCTACGCAGCATGAAGGCTGCAGTGCCACAGAGAAATCCCAGGGACATGAAGACTGGCAGCTCCCAGAGAGAACGTGTCGGTACCCAGCCGAAAAAATCCAGATCCACCGCAGGGCTGGAGCCAAGACCCAACTGAGATACCTCAATGCGAACTGCGTTTCTTCTTTTGCCGTTTCTGACAGGTCTTACAACTGTTTCTCGCAACGTTGATTACCTTGTATCTTCTGGCCTCTGATTTGCGGTGCTGTGTACATGGCAATCCCATCCTAAACAGGAAAAGCAACAGCCGCTCTAAGCTTCACAAGGTCCTTGACACATCCCCCCTTGAAGACTTGAAGAACCAGCTTTTGTTGTTTCGGCTTGGGATTGCAGCTGCGATTCGGTGGCAGCCAACACGGCCGCCAAGAGCTGCATCGGAGGGCCCTTGGCTCTCGCATCCTCGGGGGCGCAGTTCGACTGAATCGACTCCAAAGCGAAGAAGAGACCTGCCACCGGCGCGTTGAAGCCAGCCGCAATGCCACTCGCACAGCCTGCTGCAAGCAAGTTCTGGCGCAAGGCCCGTTCGGAATCAGTCTCCTGATTCTGGTACCCCGACAAGCTGGCAGCCACGTTCGCGCCGATCTCCACGCTCGGACCCTCCGGGCCCAAGGAGTTGCCGCCGGCCAAGGTCAAACCGGCGGCCAAAGCCCTTAAGGGCGCCTCGGTTTTGTCTTTGGGCGGTGCGCCGCCCGAGGCCTTCAAGGAGGCCAAGTCGGAGGAGCCGGAGAGGCCCTTCTGGCCCCGCAGGAGCAGAAGCAGACTCACGAAGAAAGCGGAGATCACAGGGGCCAGAACGGGGAGGGCTGGCCCTGGAAGTTCCAGCAGAAAGTCTTGCAGAAGGTGGACAAAGTCGTTCAACAGCACCACGATTGTACCAGTGGCAAGACCCGCAACCGAGGCCAGAAATAGGGGAGAGGAAAGCGCACCGTTTGCCCGCATCGCAGTTCGTTCACGTGGGGCGGGCGCAACCCGAAGGCCCAAGTGGCTCTGCAGGGAACGAATGGGCATCGCATTCAATCGGCTGCTGCTTTGGACAAAAGTGCTTGAGGAGCTCCACGTCGCGGTGGGGACTGGCACACGCTTTTGAAGAACTGCTCCTGCCATCAAGGCCTCAGCATGTGCATGGATGCCGGAACTGAGCTCTCAACCGCGAGCCCACAACTTGCGAGTAAGCTTTTGACCGACAAGCCGGCACATGCCCGCCGCTTTCGAGCCGATTTCCTCATGCCGTGTCTACTTTGGGAGAACAGATCTGAAGAAATCAGCCTTTCCATTCTGTCATGCGATGCTGTGCGTGCAGTTTGCTTGTCTTCACCTGATAGTGCAGCCTGATAGTCTGTCTACATCTGACCGAGCCATCCAGGAACGTGGGCTTCGGGCCAACAAATGTAACATGTCATGTTTTGATGTGGCTTCTGGGATCGGCAAACAACTTCCGAGAAAGGCAGACGGTGCTTGGTTGTACTAAGTACGATCATCGATGGCATGGATGTGCAGTACTGAAAAAATGTGATGTGTGAGTGGTTCCCCAAAAATATAGACTTGCTCCCAGCTTGGGTCAGAAAAGAGTTGAGGTCATGTCGCCGAAGCCTCTTTGTTCCACACTGCAGAACCCGCCACGAAGAAGTGGCCGTCTGCAGGTGCCAAGTTGGTTCAGATCAGAAAAGGCGCGGGCGCTTCGCAGCCTCGGCCAGAGAGGGCAGGGGCGCTTGCCTCGCCAAGCGCCTGTTCTCTGGCCTGGCCTGGAAGTTGGAGCCTCTCAGCTTCCTCGGCAGCAGACGAAGCCCCAAAGATCCGCGAAGAACGAGGTCGGTTAGGTGCCCGGGCCCGTCTCTGCCTGGCAAGGTCCCGATTTCCCACTCTCCATGGGCCCTGAGACGTTCAGTCGCGATCCGGGAGAAGCTTGGGGCTTTCCGAGTGCTCGACCAGGTGCACTGGCCAGCCTCCTCCAGCCAAGGAAGCGCAAACACTTCCCCCTGATTCGCGCTGCTGAAACTCCCACCTGCCTGGCTGCACTTGCCTTGCTCCCAGAACTTGCAGATGCTTCTACGTACATTGGCAACCTTGCATGGAAGCCAGCTCTGCACGCCGCTAAGCTGTCGCTGGTAGGAGGGACGGGATACATGCGGACCATATTTAGCCAGTTCAACCCAGCACCGCAGCACCTGTGGCAATGAATCGAAGAAGGCCTTCATGCAACCGCGCCTCTGTTGTCTGCACCAGTGCTCCGCCCTTCCATGGCGGAAGTACCTTCATGCCTTCGAGTGCGTGGAAGAGTAATGGCATCGCGACGAATCGCCGCAAGCAGCGTCCAGGGCCGGGGCCTCCCTTAAAAGCTGGAGGGCTCTGCTCTGGCAGCGTTTCCATGCGGTCCTTCAGAACGACTGGAGAGTGAATCAGTGCTGACGGTCAGAGCGTCAATGACACAACCGCAGGCATCCGCAGGCTACTATGGCACTATGGAGTCTGGCAAGTGCGAGAGCCTGATTTTTCGGCAAGCCTTGCGCGATCAGCGAAAAAACATGCCCAATCACTGGGTAACCGCTCTCGTTGCGAAGCTCGCATCTCGTGTCCCGGATGACCTTTTGCTTGAGTTTTGTCGCAGCTGGTCGACAGCAGAAAGAGCTACGCAGCTACGTGGCCTGGAAGTTGCAGTGTTGTGCCAGCGACAAGATGTACGCGTGGCTGTGGGCGATGCGGCCCGACCCCTGGCACTCCGGAAGGCCGAGTACAGAGTAGTTCTCAGTACTCTGAACATGCCGATGAGTGGTGTCCACACGACATGAATGCGCCATAGCAAGTGCACGCTGTGAAGCAAAAGCCATTACTCTCATCACACCCTTTATATGGATGCCTCCAGCTGGTAGCCCGGACACTCATCTGCCGGTTCCTCCGTTGAGAAAACGAAGAGGCCTGAGCTGCATTGGCATTGGACAAGCTTCCATGTACGAGTGCCCGGTGCTTCCGACCCCCACCAACCAGCCTCTCTCTGGGCTGAGATTCTGCAGAACGAGGCGAAAGACCGCGGAGAGGTCGGTAACCTGGGCGTGGCAACAAGAAGCGAGGTGTCTCGAGATCAAATGCCGTCAAGCGGTCATCAAGCAGCATAGTTGTTGACGACACGCGCAGCTTCTTCAAAACTCATGCCGGCGATACATAGCCGAAGACGTCTGCAGCAGCAACCAGATCGAAAGGGTCAGACCCTTCACAGGCCTGGGCTTCGAGTCTTCGAGTGTGCGACCTTGAAAGCCCTCTCACTCTGAATGCAGTACGGGCACCATCAAGTAGTGAGTTATCTCCGAGCAGTGCAGCTCGTCGTAGCATCCTTTTGCCTGTGCCTGGAAGCTGATCGGCACAATCTCAGAGGGCAGACTTCGTCACTTCGTCACTCGCCTTCTGCAGCATCTGGGCTGACAGGTCTACTGCCACGAGGTGTGCTCGAGGGGAGAGGTCCCGCAGCTGCTCTCCGAGCAAGCCAGTGCCTGCACACCCCGGAGCCGGAGCACTGAGAAGCGAGGGTTCAGGGTTTAGGGTTTAGGGGAAACACAGCCTGCAACCCGGCCTGCCCCAAGATCGAGCATGCGCCGCAGCCCTGCAGGCTCCCGATCTTCCTGGCTCCACCGAATTGCCTGCACGCGGTATCGCACGCGGCTGCGGCCTCTCGCCTCCTATAGGGACGTGTCGGCCTGCACGAGCAGCTGGGGAACTTGGTAGCCCAGTGACTCCAAGCTTGCATCAAAGCTGGCGGCATAGTGGTCAAAGAGGCTTACGACGTAGGATGACGCGATTTCAGCGGGGGTTCTTCGCTGTATGACGGCAAGCAGATGCTTGGCCAGGTCGATGCGGAGGCTTCTCTCTGTGAGCCCTGGTCTTCGCAAACGCCGTTCTTCTGCAATCTCCTGCGCCCACAAAAAACACCCGGGCTGATGGCCCTTTTACATGAGACTCTCATTTCACTCCTGTCTTAGTCTTTGGCATCCGATCCAGGTGTCTCTTGCAAGCAGCAGCAGCTTCGCCGCGCCACGCGTCACTCTGGGTATGTCGAAGCCTGACAGCACTGGGCGTGGAAAGAGGCGGAAAACTTGCGCTTGCGGGGCACGGCTTCGCGTTCGCCTGGTTAAATTCCCAGTCAACTCCCTCTATCAGGTTGTGGATGATGTTGGTGGAAGTCCAGTTACCTCTCTGATTTCAGCCAAGATGCCGACGCTGCAGCAGCTCCGCCAACTCTAGAAAGGCCCGCTGGTGACCAGGCTTCCGCTGCGTGAGGCGCCGCAAGTGTCGCAGACGTGCCTGCAAAGCGAGGTGCAGGGTTGCCGCAAAAGCGAGATTACAAGCACAGACAAGCGCAAGCACGAGAGAGGATCAGGAATCAAGAGTGTGAGCTGTTCTTTGCCAACCGGCTGGTGCCCCGTCACGGTAAGTGCCTTCTGTGAGCGGGCAGACGGGGCGGACTGCCCAGCCCGCACCAGCTCCCTCTTCGGCCCCCACCTTGCACGGAAGGAGGTTTCAGTTCATGAGAGCTCGGCTCAGCCACCGGGCCTGGCCACGCCTCGCAGCGCACGCAGGGCATCACGCTGAGCCCTGCTTTCCATGGCTCAGACCACGGCACTTGCAACCTCTGACTTCGGAGAATCTGAAAATCTTCGACATTGCCTGCTTCGACCTCTCTTCAAAGAGATCAGCGGAGCCGAAACAGTACCGGTCGAGTACCAGTGGTCCGCTGCAAAGAAGCAGCGCTCAACCGAAGCGCGGTCCTCCTCACCGTGTGCCCATGTGCAAGTCTCACCGCGAGAGCACTGGCCCTGCCAAGCGAGCATGCAACGGACCATGCACACTCACTGACTCGAGTCTTTGCGCAGTTTCTTGAACTGTTGGAGCTGTCGCCAGGGTTTATCGAATAACATCTGGCTACTGTCGCAAGTGCTAGAAGCCCGACCAATTGTCTGGCCAGTGTGTTTTTTTTCAGGGTTCGTAGGCTTGACCCCTCAACGTCGAGCAGCATGCCGATGCTGGAGCTGACCGGACAGCTTCCATCATCTGCTACGGGGTTGCCAGGGTAAGTCTGGTGGTTACGTGCCACTCGATTTATTGTTTAGATTCTACATGTGTTCCACTCGCGCAATTCTTACAAATATCGTCCCTTCCTAGCTGACCTCTGCCAAGGAAAGCCTTGTCAACCATGCGATTTGCACGCTTGGCTCTGCGCAGCTAGTGACTTAGCTGCTAGTCACCCAGTCCTCAGAATTTATTCCAATTCTTTGCTGGACTCAACCAGTGAACGAATCGCCTTTGCCGATTCAGCTAATTCGATCTATTTTCGCCACTTGCCTCCAGCCAAAACTTGCAAATCGTCTTTTTCAAGGGCTGCTCTGCAACTCCCTTACCGCCGTTCCAGCCTTGGATGTTTCCATGTGATGAACACGTCTTGCCACTGACAGCAATTTATCACAGCGACTAGAGTAGGTGCTTGGTCGCGCCGATTTAGCAAGGATGAACTGCGGGATGCACTTTTGTACTTCTTGCGGGTTGCGGTGCATATTCGTGAGACTTGGTCGTTGTAGATCTTTCTTTTCCACAGTAGGAGGCCCTTGCACTTGACGTGAGTGCAGCTTGGAACCTCTTCTGCTTTCATGCACGACCCACCAACTCAAACTGGATGCTTCCCAGCATACAACGAGCTGAGCCCTGCGCTTGGGACAGTCCCAGTCTGCCCCCTGTTCATTTCCTTGATAGACTGTGCGAAGAGGTCGGAGTCCTATCTCACTGGAGGCGGCTGAGGCTATCACCACGGCTGGCGAAGGAAGCGCCTGCACATTGGCTGGCGGATGCCAGGGACCGTGCTGACAGCATGGGGCCTGAAAGGCACTGGTGAAGACCTTGCTCACACCGAAGTGGCTCAAACCTGGCTCGGCCCAATGACCTCAGCCAGTTCACGTGCCACACAGCTTGGCTGGAAACACTCGGTCTCCTGCTGTGCCGCGGAGGTTCCTGGTGCTAAGGAGGGCAACGATCGTCATCAAAGTGTCTGAGACAACCCAGCGCGGCTTTCGATTTTCTCGTGCTCTGCTCTTGCTGCTTCTGAGCAGCGACTTCTCAAGATGCTCTCTTCCAGCAGAAGGCTGGCAAAAAGCATCTTAGAACACGGGAGGGGCCCTGAGACAAGTACACGTGCAACCGCATGTATCTTCACACTTTTACTCACACCTGGTTAAGACCAGTGTGGCATCGAGTGGCGGGTTCCAAAGCCTCAAGCTGGTGATGTTGAAATGTCAAAGACATGCAGTCAGAAGAAGCTGCGTTCCAGCAAGTGGCTGGCATAGCATCTGCGCTGCACGGCTAACTGGGTATCCCCATCATCTCAAAAGCATGTTGAAGGCTTGAGCCCGTTTGGGCATCCATCTTTCAATTCTAGGATTCCATGAGAAAATCCAGAATCGCCGCTGCAAGTCGCATCCCAGCAGTTGGCTGGCAAGGCGACAGAGCATCCGTGTCACGCCGGCTGGCCAACAAGAACTTCTGTCTAGCCTACACAGTGCAGTGGCGTCAAGGAGCTTCACATCTGCACGGTGATCAACGTGCAGGTCAGCTACCGCGTCAGTGAGAAAGGTGTGGTAAACCCTTTGGCTTGCATACCCTCGGTGAAGGCGTCGAAGAGCTTGAAGTTCGCCTCTGACACTGCAAACTGCATGAAAAGGATATGCTAAAAGCTCCTTCTCACAGCTGCCGCATTCTCCTTCCATCTGGAGCTGAAGCACCTTCTCCATCATCTGTGAGCCGAGCCGTAGGTATGTCAACGACTTGAGAGCAGGCTTCCACACCAGCCTGGGCTGGAAATCACAGCGATCTCCGGTCGCCTTACTCCGGATTCTGAAATTCTAGCAGTCGCACAGCACCATAGCACCTGCAACACTTGGCAGGCAACATCTGGTTGTAGCCAGCCATATCCGTCACGTCCAGTGCATTCTCTCCCGTGAGTGAAGCTTTGGCTGCGCGGGTGGCCTCGCTGGAATGTCGCGACATGCGCATCTGCATTGGTGCGTGCCCACGAAGCGACACGATGTGTGGGGCTTCAAATATGCTGCCACATATGGACTCTTCTCATGCTATCATCTGAGGCTGTGGCTGCAATAACCTGAAAAACGAGCTCTTGTGGCCCGGAGAATGCATCGGTTGGTTGGGAGGCGTCTGTCATCTCCATGCAGGTGAAGTCAAAGTACACGTCGAAGCTCTTGAATAGTCGAGCAAGGCGAAAATACCTTTGCAAATGGGCACGGGGGATGAGGGGGGGGGCAGTCTGCAACAGTTTGAGGGGCTTGGTGGGGTGGGTGTAGATGTCCAGACTGAAGTTTGGGCTAGCTGCGGCTGATTGTTGTTCGCGTTGTAGTAGCCAGCTGTCAGCTCGGCCGCGTGAGATGGTGTTTTGTACATCCAGTGAACGCCTGACGTACGGTACTTTTCTGTACGTGCCCTGTCTCTTACATCAACCCAGATGACAAATGCGGCTTTGGCTCCTGCAACTTTGGCGGAGAGATCCACTGCATGACGAAATACGCCGCGAGCTGCTCGTAGAACAGTCTTGGCATGTCTCTCCAAAGACTCGGCGTACCAGTCGAGGAAAAATCGTCCTCGGGGCTACACCGGCTGTGTTCCAGGAGTACAGTCTCGCCAGGAAATTGCGCACTCTCACTGGCCTCGCCTCGTGCTGTCCTGTAGCCTTCCGTAAAGAAGCGTGTATTGTTCCAAGCGCTGTTGTAGTTCCCAGTATCACTCGGCGGTGGGGGTTGACCCCAGTCCGGCGGCCGTCCTACCGCTTGCATGAAAGTTCGGGCAAAGCGGCTGGAGGGCTTCGAAGAATGAGTTCTGAACAAGTCGAAGATGCCAGAACAGACCAAAAGCGCAAAGGCCATCCTGTACTTCCGAATCATCGCGTCCTGCTCTCTTTGCAGATTCCTTAAGCGATTCCAGAGCGTGCGCGTCGAAGCATTGGAACTCCCCAATGCCCGGATACTGCCAAGGGCCATTCCTCGTGCAGTGCTTGACGTTCTGATGGGACTGTGTAGTCTCTTCCCCCGTGATTCCGAACTGTTGCCGTCAGAACCCCCTTTGACTCCAGCGCCAGTATGCAACCCTCCTTTACACAGATTGTGCTCCAGGTCATAGAGCGCATGCGGAAGGCAATGCTATGTGCAAGACGTTCATTCGAGATTCAAGCTACTATCAACAACAATCATACATACTGGTAGGACAATAAGCACAACAATAAGATAGCAGTAATAAGGTGATGACTCATGACTACAACCACCAAGAAACACAAAAGCTTGTCGTAAATAGGCACAAGCAGATACTAATCATGCATGGTAACGTACGAATGAAGTCAGAACTAAAACCACGACATAGTAACAAGTAATCCTGGCTAAACATGACAAGCCATACGCAGCAGTATAAGCAAGTACAGAACTGAAGTGAATCCAAAACATACTCTGATAAGACCTAGCACGACTGATGCATAGCAAATAACACTGCATAGAACACTTAGACTGCCAAATGACGCTTGATTACTGAATAAAAAACAACTGGAACACAACAATCAGTATTCAATTTTTTGATGAACCGGTGACAATCAAAAAACAAACTTATCAGTAGTAACCCATATCAATCCAACAACTAGTCGCAAATAAAGATAGTAATTGAACAATAGCGAACGATACGTAATGAGTAATCACTGAACAGAAGTAATGATCACCCAACGGCATTAATCACCGTTCGTAGTTTATTATATAACCGGTAAATACTAGGCAATAGTGCTCAGTACAAACGATACAAATGAACAATAGTTGACGGTGAATCACTAACAATTAACATCTATGAAGAACTACTGATGCTTAAGATTATTACCCAGCAGATTTTGGCGATAAGGAAACAGAACTACTCACAGTTTAATCGAGAATCATTAATCATAGCTAGAGCTAGTTGATTATGACCAGTCAACAGTAACAACTATGATAAACAAAAACAACAACAGTGAATGAGTGAATAAGCATGTCAATTTCACGACAAATACCAGTGCAAAACTATACTGCCAAGTTCAAAGCAATGAAGTCACTAAATTTGTGTGTATCTATACATATATATATATATATATAGATATATATATATATATACAGAATCAGAGAGAGGCCTGCTAGTCCACCAGGAATCCGATGTGATTATCTGTTGGAAGGGCTCCAAAAGTCGGGAGAACAGGTGTCCGACAAGATTCTCGTAAGAAGGGTATTTCAGCTCACCGTCCGTGCCGAGGCCAATCATCATCTCGGTGATGGTCGCTCCCAGATCTCTTGCAAAGAAGGCGCGGAAGTGCTGCATCCAGTCTCCTTGTGGGAGGACGGGGGAGCTTCTGGAACCGCGGTGAGAATGATATGTGTGTGTGGGGCTGCTGCCAGTGATGAAACTGAGGGGCTGTACATCTCAACCGGAGTCCGGCCATGAATCTCCACGTGATCAGCCCACAAAGAAATGTAGGCGAAGGTTTCCGAGCCACTGGCATCTTTGTACCAAACGTCTCGAGTTGATAGGAGCCAGGATGGCAATGGGATGCCTAGGGACTGCTGAGTCTTGCAATGATTGCAACAGACGTGCTGAAATTCAGCTGCGCGTTCGTTCATGATACACGCCGAAGATGGTAAGCGTTCCCACTTTCCCACTTGGGCTTTGCTTGAGGTCTCTCTGCAGTCCGAGCTGCTGGTGCCTTGGGCATGAAAAGATGTGACGACTTGCAGCTTGAATCCGAACTCCTTGACCAAGTCCACCCTTGGAAGCAGGAATCGCTGCAGCACGCGGCATAAACAGCAGCACACTTGAAACACGGAGCTGACACCTGAGCCCCAACGCTCTTTGCCGCCCAGCCACAGCTCCCTGTAGCCTGTAAAATCGTATTGCCCGGGTGCTGGCTCTGTCAGACCCCACCAACAATCCACCATCAGTCCTCTGAAGCTCCCCTCAAAGCGCTCATCGAGCCGCTGCAATTTGCTCAGATCCATGTCATGAAGTCTGTTCTGTGGCTTCATATTTCGGCTCCCTGCTTCAGGCTGCTGCGTGGCTTCGGGTTCTATGCTGGCAAGTCACCCTCCTTACTGTAGGCGGCTTGCCAACTCAGCATGCATGGTGACTAGATGAAGTGATCAAGTGGTATTTGGAATTTTGGGGTCACCAGTTGCCAAGGTGAACACTCTTCCAGCGCATTGCCAGCCCCCTTCACTAAGACGGTCAATCCCAGGCGTGGCGGCTTAGTGCCTTGGTCCTGTGACTTGCGCCTCGGCGAGTTGGGCGAACCAGCGCTTTAGCTGCTCCGGGTTCTTCAAGTGGAAGGCCTGAGCAGAGAACAGCACTTCACGCGTTGCGTGTCTGCGGTGCCACAGCGCCTCGTCGAAAAGATCCAATGGCAGCATGACAAAGACTCCGGTGCCCGCATGCTGCCTGAAGGCGATTGGGGCTATATAGTCGCCGTGGGCTGGGGAAATCGAATTGAAGCGTAGTGGCATGTGCCAATTAGGGGCAAAGCGAAAGCCACGGAACAGGTCCGCGCCACAAGGGCCGAGGGTTGTCGGGGAAGCGGTGGATCCGCGATGTGGCAGTCGAAGCAAGGGGGCTCAGCCAGGGAATTGCTTCCTTTGACACCAAAAAAGGGCCCGGGTCCCAATTTGCAAAACCCGTACACCGGCCTGGCGCTCGAGTCGGACAGGCTGGGCCCGGGAGCGAGGCTTTGCGTCCTGCACAGCACGGCGCGGCCAAAGCAAGCCCTGTCCGAGAGCTTCGGGATCTTGCAGACGAGCCACATCAGCATGCTTGCATCATCCGTCTCGCAGGTGTCCGCGCCAGCAACAGCAAGGCTCGCCAGCAGTACGCAGAAGGCTCCCACCATGGTCAGCATCAGTAAGACACAGTTCACAACGAGTAACAGTAACGAGTTTTGAATACTGCTTTGAAAAATAGCGTCGGACGTCAATCATGAACTGAACGGGCAAAGTTCAAGATCTTGCGGGAAGGGCAGCCAAGCGAAAGCCCGCCTCTCGACCTCGACCTTTGCCCTTGATGGCAAATCCATCGCCTCATCAACCAAGGCTGTTGCAAGGGTTTGACTGCCCTGGAAGATGCGCCGCAGTTTGCGGATGGAAGATTCGTTCCATGAGTGAATCAGAGCAAACACAAACTGAGATTCTTGTTGACAACTTCTTCCGGGCCTCGACGTGCCGTTGCCCGATCGAGCACAGGTGCCTGCAGTCGCACGGATAGTTGCAGATGGCATACACCATCGCTTCAATTCGAGAGCGGTACCGGGAGGGACTCTCACAACAAATTGGTTAGTCAGCGGGGCAGACGTGACATGAAACGAAACGGGACGAGTCGGAAAATCACTACTGTCGTAATGAGTCATGATGGGAGCTTCATCAAAAGACCTACTCTTTCTCCTAGGGCTGTAAAGCAACAGCCGAAAGAGTCCGGACTCTGGGGCTCACACTCCGAGCTCCTCCTCGCCGTGGGCCCAGGTGCAATCGCCACGCGTGCAGGTGCCCTCCGCGAAACCCAACCAACAACCTAAGCAACTGGCCGAAACGCGGTCCTCCTCCCAGAATCTGCAGATCGTCCGCTTGGTGTTCCCCCCTGAAGGCGATGTTACTAATACTAACCACTAGCATGTTTCAATCAACACTTCCGCAAGGCTGCCTGCAACAACTGCATCGGCACCGCCGAAAGGAACAGCTGGGCCTTGCATTGCTCATGTCACCGCAGCTGCGACAGCGCTTATTTCCAACCCACTGCCCGTCAATGCTTTACTACCAGCATTTTGCCAGCTCTGCCTGTGACTTTGACCGGCCGGATGGGCTCAACGCGCTGAATGTTCTCAATTGCAACCAACGGTGCCTGGCAGGCCCGCTCTGGGGAACCAGAGACACAGACGAGACAAAAACAGAGGGTCGTTTTCAATTTTCGTATTCCGTGCCTGTCTCCAGCCTATCCTGCGTATGCATATGTCTGCGTTCATGCCTGTATCTGCACAGTAAGTAGGATTCGACCTCTTTTCGTAAAGGTCCACATGCCTATACGCTTATTCAACTATGTCTATGTATCTGTAAACCTTTGCGTCGAAAACACGAACCTCTTTACATACATATGTGCATCCATCTCAAAATTATAGAGCTACAAATCCACACGTCCAGATACATTCTTGCATTTAAAAGAAGGTATATCTTATCTATATATATATATACCATATCTACACACCGAGTTGTGTATATATCTGTATACCTAATATCTACAAACCTATATATCTATCTATCTATCTATCTATCTGTCTATCTATCCATATATATATACACACATGTATATCTGTCTATGTATATATATATATATATATTTATGTATATATATATATGTATATATATATATGTACAAATCTATATATCTATATTATATATATATATACATCTACAGTTTTGTAGGTCTATACATTATATATCCTTATGTCTATATATTATCTATATACCTACAACTCTAAACATCTATTTACCTGTATATCTATACATCTATATACCTATATATGAATATCTATTTACCTGTGTACGTCCATACCGTTATGTCAACAGCGCATGTGTCTGCATGCCTGGATTACACACTTGCCTATTTACTGGAATCCAGGGCTTGATCAATGACATCTGTCTGTGACCTGGTGCAGGAGCTGCCAAAATCCTGCAAGGACTGGGTCCCAAGCCCCGATCTCCTCCTCCCCGTGAGCGAAGGTGCAGTTGTCCCCCTTCGTGCAGAGACCCTGCAGCGACAGTGAGAAGAACGAATCGTGTGACATCCCCTCAGTGTCCGACTATCTTTGCATATATACAGAAGCCAGTGATGAGAATGTCACATGTGCGCAACGTAAAATACCAGCAACTCTTCCCAGAAACATCAAGGAGGCCTCTGAACGGCAGAATGTGGAGTGATTGTGGAGACAGTTGCTGCAGCATTGCAGAGCAGGCCAGTCCGACGCAATGATTGGCGTAAAGGGGGGGGGGGGCGGCCTGCTCCCAGAATTTGCAGATGGTGCGCTTGGAGCTGACGCCTGACAGTGTGGCGATGCATCGAGGCATGACACGTGCAAAACACATTAGCCGGGAATCCCTCTACAGCATTGCGGCAGGCAGAGAGCGTGTCCCTTCGCACATGTTGAAGTGTCGACTCCACCACATTGCCTGCTGATGGAGCTCGCCACGGGCCTGATGCAGAAGCACTCTCAGGCTAGACAGTCCGGAAGTTGCAGGCGTAAGTACGTTGACAGGTATGTATAAGATAGTTGCGTGGTAGGTCGGTAGGTAGGTAGGTCTCACTGCTTTTGGACTATTGAACTGTAGAGTCTGAAGATCACAGCAGGTGGGCATGTTCGCAGCCTGCAAAGACCGCAAGTTCAACCCAAAACCTGCACTTCACAGCAGTTAACTTGTCTAAGCAGTTCTGGTGATGCATGGAGCAGCAGAGGAAACAATACAGAAACTTGTTCAAACAACAATCCGGCAAGAAGGGTCAGTATAATCTCACCCCCACCCTCGATTAACCCCATGTACCCTGGAAGTCACTAAGCCAAGACTAGGTTTGAATTTCACCTGGATGACATAGACAGTGAGAAAGACATCAGTACAGATGTAACTCACTATCAAGGTTCGCTACACCCTTTAGCACCCACCCCACAGCACAGAAGAGGGATCTTGCTTATCTCCTCTTTCATGCTTAGATTTGCAGCTCCGATGGTCTCTGCACTCAGAGCGCACCCTGCGAAGGAGCCGTCGAAACTGCTGCACTCCTCCTCTGCATCAGGCCTCTCACGGATGGCATGGTGCAAAATCCAGGTAATGTTGAAACCTCGACCACTCACGAACTTCAAGCATTGCAACCAACACGATCGTCCGCCTTGCCACAGAGTGGACACTGGGGCCGTGCTCACCTCGGTCCACTCCCCACCTTGTTTATGCACGTCCCGAATCTCCCCACTATGACCTTTCAGCGTGGTCACCCCTCACGTGTTGCAACCGACATCCCTCCGTTTGAGAAGCATCCCGGGTCCTATGCGTCTTGCTCTTTCCAGTTGCAAGACATCGAAAGCAGGCGACAGCAGGCGTCTCAGTGTCGGTTTTCTACAGTCCGGCCATGGACTGGGAACACCATGACGAAGTGGCACCATCCCGAGATTTCGCGGCGACTTCGCGGCCAAGAAAGCCGGCAGCACAGTTGTTTGGAGCAAATTGCCGAGACACGGCGCGATTCGGTGTCCGGCTGTTCAACCGGGTGTTTTGGTGCATTGAGAGATTCGTGTTCAAACGCTACAGAAGGGATTGGAAGCAATCTCCTTGAATCTCTGAATGCTCTTTAAGTGGATGGCGAGCTCCTGGTCTCCGTGCGCGAAGGTGCAGGAGGAGCCCTTCGTGCAGGTTCCCTGGCAACTAGCAATAGCTCACGCGAGCTGGATTTGTCCACTCCTGCCTGCAGCCAGAACTTGCAAAGTGTCTTCTTTGCATTTGGGCCTGACATTATTGTGGCATCTTCAACACTCTTGGCTTCGAAGCTGCACAACACGAGCGCAGGCCACCCATAGCTTCAAGCTGAGGTGACAGAGGCATGCCGAGTTCCTCTGCGCCTGCGAGGCACACTTCGGCACATCTGCCTTCCGAACCTATTAGAGCTCATCGGGTGAGCTGTCGGAAGTTTGAGCATGCGACTGAGGTGCAAGGTGCGCAAAATTTTCCGCATAGGCTCGTCTCCCCCGTTGGTCTAATGCCGGTCACGCGACCATGCAAGGAAACATGCGGCTGGAACAAACATGATCAAGCCGCAAAGTTGGCTTTGTGCCCCGCCAGTGAAACACACCAAAGATAAGATCTCAGCCTCGCCGCGCTAGATGATCGGAACTCGAGTCGGCTCACGAAACCGGTTCTTCGTCATCCTGAACCAATGTCTCAACTGGCGTCACTGCCAAGCACGATGACCCCTCCCCGCCCTACCCTGCTGCGATCCACTGAACAGCCCTTGGTGCTGCCTGAGGCTTTGATACTGCCTGTCTCAAACACTGCCTGGAGCCTTCCATCTCCCACGTCCGAAAAGACATCATGAGGGCCATGCTTCCTGCTGAGTCCTACTGTAGCATCATCTATGGCAGCTGTGGTATCTACCTTGGCAGGATTAGCCAGATTGAATGTCCTCGGCTTGACCCGGACACGCGGGCAAGTTCTCGGGGCTTTCTCCAGGACGTGGAGAGCACCTGCACGATGACCAGTTGAGAAGGGAAGGGTCATCGTTGAGTCAAGTTGAGTCAAGATTGGGAGCAGATCATGCTATCGGCGGGCTCGAATGGTCGGAGGCGGAGGCAACTGTGTTTTCGAAAGTGTGGACTCACATGGCTACAAGGGGCCAACGTAAGTCAAATCAGTGCGCATGAAGTCACATCACTCATATAAACGCTGCGAGAGGGGGGGGAGTCGCCTCATAGCCAAAAAAGTGCATCAGAGCTTGGTGAAACCAAGTCCAAACCCCATCTAAACCCTGTGACGAGTACCAGTTAGGAAACAAAACGCAAAACATGGACTCTGAGTTCGTCGCACAGGCATATAAAATTATCAACCGCTTTCAATGTGATTCAGTACCGTGTATCGCTAACCACGTCGACAGGTCTAAGTTACAAGGTAGAGTTAATCCACTAGACTGCTAGGCCGCTAGGCCCCATCGAAACGCAGGGGGAAGCCTAGAGATGAAATCACAGACCGGGGGCTACAACATGCTACAACCCATCCACAACAACCACCATGCAAAAACTTCGTGACTACTTGCGAATGGTGCCTCAGGTAAGGTATGCGAACTCCATGTAAGCGCGGGGGTGATACGACGGCACCCCTCACAAATAAAGATACGACTTAAACTACCCCCTTGCACCAGTAGCGCGCTAAGAAAAAACAAGACTTCAAGACGGCTCAAGCTTTGATACTCACACGGCCGCCACGAAGCAGTCGAACATTAGCTCAAGGAGACAAGCCGAAGCTGCTGAACCACCCAGATGTATGCATTCAAAAATTCAACATTCTGAAGAGGTAATTAAGTGGTTCAGATGAGCAGCAAACGAAAGGAACGGCCATTCCGTGATGTCTTTGACTAGGAAGCTCGGATTTTGAGTGAGTGAACCCTTACTGAGTAATTAATGTGGCCTGATCGCGCCCGAGTGTTCAGGCTCACCTCGCCCACTGCAGGCCTGAACGGGGATGTCAGAAAGTAACCCTGATGCGAGGAATTCATGTGGCACTGCTCGGATGCCGCTTAAGGCGGAGCAAGGACCAGAAGGTGATAAACTCCTAGGCTCCCCACTTCAGCGGGAGGGAGATGAGTCTCACGGAGTAATCCAGATCTGTCCTCACTGACTCACACTCCTGCAGCCTCTAAAGCAACCAAACCCACCCGCACTGAGTGCTGCTGCCCGCAGAGAGGGTAGAGCTCTACGAGACGCCTGAGCGAGACCAAAAGATCACAACCACACCGCTCAAGCTGCTTGCCCTCTGCAGCCTTTTCTTTTTGATTCTGGACACCTGAGCAATGGTCGAGTGAAAGGCTTCCACTTTACTCGGCCAAAGATTTCAGGTCTGGGCTGTGGCTTCATCAGGGTCCTCGAATCTCTTGACGAAACGACGGACAACCATCTCCTGCAGGAATCAGCCAAGGCAAGCAATGCAATCTTATCCACTCCCGCTGATGGTGGCGACCCTTCCCATACCTGGGGTCGGTCTTTGTCTGTTCCAGCCCATCCTCCTTACGCTTGAAGGTGGTGATCAGGCATCGTCCGCCGTGGTCAAGGCAGCGGAAAGCAGCCTCCAGGCCTCACAATGTGCAGTTGGGGCAGTGTGACTTCAGAAGTCTACTGCTGCCGGCAACACGGCTAGGGCAAGCGAATGCTGAGACGGCGCAGGCACATCGCCACCTTCTCTCAAGTCACGTGCCTTGCTGCAGCGACTCGATCTCCGAGTTCAGGAAGAGACGGATTGCCTGTCGCCAGCGCAACGAGGCAGGGACTCAAGCTGTCTAGTGCGGAATGCCTGCACGGTCAAGCGAGCAGGATGCAGGTTCCCTGGCATTGAGAAGCATACTGCGCACTGAATGCACATCACTGCAAATGCATCGCGGCCCCGAGGCCTCGAACCGTGTGTTCAAACTCTTCATCGCCGACCTGCAGTATGCCACCGCATGCAGGCAGGTCAAGTCAGAAAACGCCCTTGGGTCTCTGCCAGCTTCGCTTGCCCGACCAGCTCAGCGAAGCGTTGCATTGAATGGAAAGGGCCATCTGCCATGGAGCGTACGCGAATAACGCTGGCAACAGAGCGGGCAAGGCAGCAAACAGGGAAGCTGACTGTGTTGCTGGTCGTCATAAATCAACTGTCCATACACCAGGGTGCAGGCCAACTTTGGTCGACAAGCTTTCAGTTCCAGCCTGTGCTATCCTTTCGGCTTCCAAGTCGTCCTGGGAGATACCAAATGCGATGAAAAGCTGCGAACCTTTCTCGCACAGCATCCTGGAAGTCATCGCCGTATTCGCGCAGAACCCAGGCGATCTCCTCCGAGGAGGCGGCCTGACGCCGCGGCGCTCTGCTTCAAACTCCTCTTGCGAGAGAGCGCACCGTTGCCGTTCGCCTCCAGCCATTCGGCCGCCGAGATGCCCGCCGTAGGATTCATGCGCAAGTCCAGCTTTGTGTCCTGCCGCTTCGTGGCTCAGAGTGACTCAGAAGTCACGCCTCGACGACGTGACGACATGCGACGACTGTCCGCGGAGCGAGAGAGGTTGGACATGTTGAAGCCGCGGCTCTTGTCGTCAACCCTGCGAGTCAAGTCACTGCTTTTGGCACAGGATGTCGCTGTCACAGAGGCTTCGACTGGACGCTCGACACGCCGACATCCAACCTTGTTAGGGGTGCAATGTGCCGTTGGCGACGCTTTCTCCTGGTCCCCCTCGAAGTCCTGAGCCCTTCGCACCAGACCTTGCGGTCTTCCCACCTCCGACATGAGGTCCGCCATCTGCAGAAGAAAACCGTCGGATCAGATCGCAAGCCGGAGGCCAGCCCACCTCGGGGTCATCTTCACCGAAGAGCTTGTCCAAATCCTCAGCTAAACTCAGTCTGTCCCCAAACATGTTGGGAGCATGTGAGGCAGTAAGCCTGGCACCGCAAAGGACCTTGAAATGAAAGAGAACCTGCAGCAAGGGTCGGTTGTCAGCTGGTCCTCCTTGCAGGCATCCTCCCCACGGCCAGAATAGCAAAGCCATCAAAGCCCCTGCCTGGAATCCTCCTCTTCGAGAAGGCGGCCTCCATGCGTGTCACCGACAGATGCAAATTTCCTCTTTCCCCGGAGGCTGGACACCCCTCCTGGCTGGATGCAAGTTGGGTCGATGTCCAGTGCAACGAGGCGTCCGTCCTCTCAAGGAAGACGAAGGTAAGGGTTAAGTTGCAAAAGACGCCCCCCTCAGCCCTGAGCATGCAGCACTCGCACACCGGATAAACAGATAATTTTATGTGTACTATATATATATACACATATACAAATTACAAATATATAACAATAGTGTATATATATATATATGTATAGGTTGGAAATCTGTATATACACTGGTTCTTGCTCCTCGTTGAGACGTGACAGAATCTCGCGGCTGTAGCCACCACGCCCAAAGGTGCAGTCCTGGAGCAACTGACAGGAATTCAAGCCTTCTGTGGCAGAAGGTCAAAACAAGTAGGTGCAAGGCAACATACAAGCCGGTGAACAACTCGTTGCCAGATCGAACACCTGTGCTACGATGAGATTCTGAGACTGAATCGACTCTGTAAAGAGCTCCGCCAACCAAAACATCTTCTGACGGCTGGTTGCTCAATTCGTCGTCGGCATTGGCAAGGCAGTGGGACGGGAAGAGCCACTGCATGGTTGGCACCAAAAGCACGGGCTCGTGCCCCGCAACTCCTTGGTGTGAAAACACTTTTCGCGAAAGTAGAAGCTCCGTGAACCCGTCTCCGTCTGCCAAAGCACAGAACCCGCCCGAGCACATGGGGCCACCACGACCTTCGCTCAACGCCCGCTGGTGCCTGTCGCGAGCCTCCTTGCGTAAACGAGCCAACGAATGCGCAACATTCAGCAGCAAAAAGACTTGAGGACAACTTGACCAGCTTGCACGCCAGGAAGGGATGATGTCAAGCAAGTGCTGGCCCGCACACACCCGCGAGTACTACAAGTGCTTCAGCTAGCACGAGATTGTGCAATGCATAACTGCCACGAAACACCGAAGCTGCCCACCAACGCGACATGCCCTGTCCTCGATGCTGCCCTGCAGATCAAAGCCGTCGATCCACTCCTCGAAAGCACAAGATATCTGCTTGTGCTGCTCTTGCACTCGCTTTGGCTCTGCCTCCTCCTCCTCCCAGCTGTCCTGACGGACGTCTGCTTCGCCGCAGCTCACGGCACAGACACGTGCTCTGCAGCCAGCTCCTCCTCCGTTAGCATGCTGAGGATGCTGTTCGACGTGCCTGCACGAGAGTTCTGAAACTCGGTTCTGAATTTTTTCTTCTGATGCAGAACAACCGTGGGGAGCCCGTGAAGGAGAAACAAATCAAAAACCAGTTTCCTGGCGTCTTTTCTCTGAAGTGCTGCGGGTAAGACATGGGGAGCTTCCCTACAGCTCCCTTCATGACCAAGGATAGCACTGCCACACACTTCACCATTTCAGGTGATTTATGTGGCAGCAGCGTTGCCGCGCCTCGGGCTAGCGTCCGACTGCGTCCTGGACTGCGTCCTGAGTTGTGAAGGGAGCTTGCCATTCACAGCAGTTCCTTCACTTACTATCCAGCAAAGTCTTGTGCAAAGCTTTCCGCACCTCGGGCTCTCCCTGGAAGCGACTTCCTGCGGCGTGGACAAGCCGAAAGCGTGTTGTGTCTTGAGAAAAGCCCGGTCCTTCTGCGCGCCCAAGGGCACCGCCGAGCCATTGGCGCCTTGAGGCCATGCGAGACAGACTGCACATGCTGTGCACATCGCCCCTGCTTCTCGAGTTCCAGCCAATCTGGGACAAAAAGCGGCGTTCCCTTGCTCTGGCCAAGGCAAAACTTTTCCTGCGATCCATGCTCACTGTCTCAGTTCGCTCTCAGTTGGCTGCCGTACTCTGGCCAGCGATGCGAGATTATCACTGCTGAAACTCTCGTCATCAACTGCTGTCGTTTGACTGAGTTCGGTCCCTGTAGCTTGCAGTCTGAGCGAGGGGCGGTAGCCATCAACAGCACAGCGGCACCTCGCTTCGCGAAGTGATACACAGGCATGGGCCCTGCGATTTGCTTGCGGCACGACAAGCTTTTTGCCTTCGCACCGCGACCTCCTGAGTCGGAAAATGGCCTTTATTTAAGAAACAAGACAAATACAGGTCACTCCAACTCCGGCAAAGCAAGAATATTCAAGCGGGCTGGCTAAAGCGAGGCAGCTTGAAGAGCCCAGCCCAACAAGAGCCCTAGACTGCCAGTCCACGCAAACGAGCCTTGACTCAATTAACCTCAGTTATATACAAGTGGCGTGTCCCGTCCACTCTCAGGGACCGGCCACGATGCCGAATTCGGTTGCAAACTGATTGGGTGCTAACATATTCAGAAACTGCACCTTTGAATTTGTTAGCAAAATCTGAGGAGCATGACAAAATGACATCACGTTGTGCAGAGAGAGCGGTACGTTCATGCAGCTGTCCTCGTGTAAGATGATGGAAAGCGCGAACCTGCAACATCTCTTTGACGTGTTGGCAGGCCGGCAGTTGCAGTTACGATTCGGACATAGGGGGAAGCGGTTCGCAACAGAAGACTGACTGTGAACCAACTCCGTCCGAACTGGTCGCAAGTGCTTCTCCAGCAGGATGCTCAAAGACTGAAAAATCTCCATGAACACGAGGCCCGCTAGCGGCTGTCAAGGGGCAGTCGCATCCAGCTTAAGGGCCGCGCGCTGCTGCCGTTCTTGCTGCCGGCCCCACTGCAATGCAGGCCCGAGCCGGCGCCGTTGCCGCGCTTCTCGAAGCCGGTGGCGCTCGGCAACAAGCGAAGTGAGCGTCGTTTGGGTTGGATTCTCGGTTTGGGGCCCCAAAGGCCCCAAAGCAAGCGGCTTCTGTGGCCTCGTAATTCCTGTCACACCCTTTGCAGGGTTTGTTGACCCGTCCGAAGTGGCCGCATGATTCGGGTTGCTCCGCATCAGAAAGGCCTCAATCGTGGCTGGTGGGGGCTCGTACGCCTCATACTCGATGAACTTCTTTCCCACATTTGGCAACTCTGGTGAAGCTTCAAGTTCGATCAGCTTTTGGGATGGCGACGGCGCCTGTGAAAGCTGCGCCGACTGCGTTGAGGGCTGTGTTAGCCGAGGCTGGGGCCGTGGAAACGTCGCTGTTTCGGCCATGGCGAAAGCCTACGCTTTGCTCTTGTGCCTCGTCATGAGGACCCGCTACCCGCACGAAATTCTCGGGCCGCACAGCAATGTCAGTTGAGTCTGGTGGACAGTCGGTTGACGGCGCTTGCAACTGTGTGAAAGATGCATCACGGCCTGCAAGCTGGACATCTAGAAGCCGCCCTGAAAACGACTGGAGTTGGACAAGGCAGCTGAGGTGCCTACACTCAGAGCAATGAACGGCACCTGGCTTTGAAGGGGAGCAGCGTGGAATGTGCAGATCCTGAAGAAGCCACAGCAGTCGAAGCAGACAGACCGACTGTGTGACAACAACTGTTTGAGGGCTGGTTGGCATCCGGGTGGCATGTCGCAGCGGGGACCGCGCTGCTGCCCGGATCATTGCATTTGCCACTTGGCCACAAGTATAGCTGCGCCGGCTAAGCCACCTTCGATGTAATTGACAAGTTGAACATGAACCAACCTGCTGCCCTGACATGAGCAACGTTGTTGCGCGGATAAGCTCAGCTTCTACTCAACATTGTGACACAACCCATAAGAAACAGCTCCAACGCAACCCGGTGTCTACGATCTCATCACTTCGGTTGCTGCCATTTGGCAAGGTGGCTGTCGGCAGTGTTACATTCGGCGAGCCAGTACAGAAGCAAAAGAATACGGGCATTCGCTCACGGCAGATTGCAGGTCTGCACGTGTCACGTTACTTGCTTTGTACACGCACATGAAAAAAACAATTAACAACATGGTCTGCATGCGTCAAGTTACCAACAAGACGATGTCAGCACACAGCACCCATCGAGGCAAAACGTGATGCAGAGCAATCAGGAGAGCTAAGGACACGAAGCCGGAGAGCAGCCGGGCGCACCATGAGCCCATGTGCCTTGGGTGACAACACACACAATTCAGCACAGCAACTGAAGATTAAGCTTTTGGGCCACTCGCCCTGAGCCTGGATTCCGTTGAAGCCCAGGCCCGGGCGATGGGCGGGCAATCCCTTCTGGGCATGTGCTGAAGTACAGAGACTCCGCCCGCACTTCAGAGGATGCGAAGTCAGGGCTTTCAAATCTAGACTACTGTGATCTTATAAGATTTCACTCTTGAATACATCCTACATGCCGTGGTACTGCAGCAGGCTTGGCATCAGCATTGGGAACCGACTATCGAGCTTAGCGTCCCCGAGTGTTTGGGCAGCAAAAGCGAGCTGGCCTGCTCTGCATTCCAAGGCACAGGTCGCTCCATTCTTGCAGGCCCCCTCCTGCAAGTGAGGGAATGGAACTTCCGTGTTTTAAGAGTACACTTGCTGCTGCAGGTAGGTCCTCCCAGAACTTGCAAATGGTTCTCTTCACAGAAGATCCAAGGCTTCCTCCCAGGCCCTGCCGCGAGGAATAACTACTAGCCAGGCACATGTTCATGTGCCTCCGATTTCTCACAGGGCCTGCATTCGATTTTCAACCTCAACGTTGGACTGTGGTCATCACTCGCACCAAAAGGTGCTGCGACATTCCGTGCAGTTTGAAATACTATGTGGGGCTAGCTTTCATCAGCGCTGTTTCCAGCAGCTCGGGATGCATCTTTGGCGTCCCGAGGGGATCTAGAAGTCATCGCTCTCTTTCAGGACATCTCAAGAAAGCATGATCTTGACCCAAGAGGTTCCGAAAGAAAGCAAACTAGCAGAGGTCTCCAAGAAGGCTCACTCAGATGGCAGGAACACATCGGAATTGCGGCTTGGGCGCATCCAACCTGGAAGCATCCCACGGACAAAAGCCGCGCAAAGCCGCACGCGGTCGCCTGAAACCTCCGAAAGCCCTCCGAAAGCCCGCCCTATAGAGCCCTAGGCTCCGGACGGTCCCTGAAGCCCCGCTTGTGGATCGCAGCCAAGGCCAGGCCCACACCGAGCACGGCAGCCTCCGCGAACAGCTGCGGGTGGCGAGGCTCTGAGCTCGCGCTGGTTGGGATTTTGCTACGGGTGCTTTGAAGCTCGGCCGCCGGCGAAGAGGACGAAGGTCACTGCGCCGCACGAGGAGAAGAAAAGGTCCTCCTGTTCCTGCAAGCTGGGGCTCCGAGAAGCTCGAATCCATGTCAGTGCTTCTTTGGAGGTCCTTGACACTGTCTTTGACCTCTTCGAACTTTTGGTCCGCCAAGGGGACACCGGGACACATGAAGGTGAGCCTGTACTGGCCTCGGATGGGCTCAAAAAGCTCCACGAAGCAGAGCAGAGCCAGGTGGGCCCCTGGCCGTAGGAGCAGCGCATCAGCCCTTGACCTGCATGTTTCATTTCTTGCGCTTCGCAAGCCTAGCTCCGAAGCATTCCTAGCGGGGGCGGCCATCGTCGTAGGCGAAGGCATAGACGCCCGGGCAGTATTGGTGCACCGTCTGGCAGAAGGTGAAATGCACTCAAGACTCAAGAAATCGCTTGTCCGTTTCGTCCAGTGCCCCCGCTGCCTGGACGTACTTCGTTTGCGGCAAGGGCCCCGCGTTGCAGGTTTGCGAGTTCTCAGGTGGTGTGGTACAGCCTGTGCGAAACGAATTTCCGGCCACGATCTGGTTTGAGAGCCGTCCGAAGGCCCCCAGGGCGCAAACAGTACTTTGTCACGTCGGGGTCGTTTCGGGACTTGCCCGTTGCCTTGCATGGACGAAAATGGCACCAGCTGTTGAAGCGCAGAACTGAAGTGTTTCAGCCTGTACATTGTTCCACTTGGTGTCGATGAGCTTCAAGCAAGGAGCGTAGCAGCCTTGGGCTGGCGGACGCACTGCAAGAACCCCCTGACCTGTGCAAAGCCACTGACCTACGGGCTTTTGGATCTTGGGGTTGATCGCCTGCGCACCAACGAAGGACGAGATCTGAAAGGCTCACATCAGTGCGCAGGGATCTGTGCCTGCATGTTCGTTGGCCCCTTCCCCAAGTTGTCGTCGACGGGGCACTTGTCAACAGAGAGGCCACTACAGTCCAGGTTCGTGATGGTCTGGGCCTGTGGATCCTGAAGCAATCGCGAGGGCAATTGCCAGAAGCCTCCTGAGCCTGTCCGTGCCTGTCCTGCCCAGTGCATGTGCCCGCCACAACTTCCAGTTTGAAAGGCAACGTGAAGCCATCCACCAGGCTCATGTCAATGAAGTCACAACCAGCCTCAAGAGCAACGTTTCGGACATGTCCGCCAGGCGTTTCGGGAGCGTCCCCACCAGAGAGAGTGGAGACCCGCTCAGCCTGCTGCTCTGGAATCCGCTATCCATATTCTAGGTTAGTTTGGTGAATTCTAGAGTCTAGAGCAGCACAGAAGCCCAGCCCGAGCGCTCCCCATGCAAGATCTTGAAGTGTCAGGTTCGCGCTTGTTTCATGTGTAGCGATGCCCTCACAACAAGAAGAGTTCAACCACATTTCTTGCTCTTTACCATGCTCTACCGCCGAATTCCGACTCGAGTTGCTTACAAGACAAGTTTGGTGCCCATGCGCACAGCTCTACACAGTACCGGAAGTTCGTGGTTTAGTCCGCGACCTTGTCCTTGCGGCTTGCTAAATGATGCAGGACACGTGCTTTCTTGTGCTGATTTGAGGCATGGAAGCACTTCAGGACATGCACCTGTCGTGTCTGCGCTCATTGGCACAGCGACCGAGGGTTTGGCCATTTGACCAGGATTGGCAGGATTGCACGGCTGGCCCTGCAGGGAGCATCATTGCCGTTGATTCTGCCAAGACGAACCCTCGCCTTCTTTCCCCAAGTGGCCTGAAGAGCGCTCGCTTCGCTCACTCGGATTTCGATTTTGGACGCATGCGCCTCGAACTTGGTGTCGATTGGAGGCTGGCACTTGGAGTAGTCGGGGTTGAGCTCGTTCTGTCATCCACGAACCCGCACTAAGCTAAGCAGCAATCAGATTCGGGCTGAGGTTGTAACGCAGTGCTGCCCAGGACCGCCCGAACCACCCAGCAAACAGTTCTGCCTCACAGTCATTGATTGCGACTCATGGATCTCAGGATGGCCGAGCGCCGCCAATGCTGAGCCGTGCTCCCATTTTGATCGCAGCCCATCTTTGGCCAATAGCGTGCTGAAGCGACCTGGTCCGTCTCAGTCTCATCGAAGATCATGTTGCCTCTAAGAGCAACAGACTCGCGAGATGCCCCAGCTGTGAAGTCCCTCGAAAAGACCCGGGCCTAAGGGCGGAATGGCGTGGTTGATTGGGCCAGGCCTCGGTCTCTCAAAGCAACTCCAAGCCCCGAAAAACCTCAGCCTCTGAGCGCGGAGCCCAGGGCCTGCCTCGGCGACTGCACGAGGCTGAGTGGCGCTTGCTGGAATCCCATGTGCGATTTGACTTGGCAGATCTTGGAAACCCTGCGGCGGCCAAGTGCGCAATCCAAATCGTCTCGTGAGGACACCCATTGACAATCTCGAGCCGGGGTATTCCTGCCTCAGCAGGAAAGGACAAATTGCGAAAGGCGCCTCTTTGGCCTGGGGCCCGGGCAACGACGCAGGAAATCGAAGTCGCTACTAAGAGGAACTTCATGGCTGCTGCCGGCGGAAGCGTTCGATGATTGATGATTGCACAGCATTCGTGAAATTAATTGCTTACGTCAGCGGCTTCCTTCGGTCTGATCCGTCGGCCGCGGAGACGACATTCGAGGCTGGATATCCCAGGTGTTCACAAGGCGACTACGCAACAGTTGTTCATGCAATTGAAGTTGCATATGCCTCGAAGTGGTCATCCAACGGAAATTCATCGTCAAACTCCAAACCTGGAGTGTTCCGACGACCGAAACCTCCTCAGGCTTCCATTGGCGACACTCTGCCAACCTTGCTCGTGCTGCGTCCTGGCAACGGAAGTAGCTCCAGCTGAACTAGTGCTTCGATAGGGCCGTGGACCAGGTCTTCAAGAAATCGACACACATGCCGGAGGGGCGACGCAATAGCTCGGAACATGCTTGCATCCAGCAACGGCAGACACTGCAGTAGGGCTTCAGGTCGGGTCCTGATAGCTATGACAAGGTGTGCCGGCATGTCAGCCTCTGAACCTGTCAATCTTCCGGAAACTGCATAGCTGGAGGATTGGTGCAGGCTTTTTCGGGCTTGGGCCGAGAAGCGCTTCTTGCAAGCACTGCGCATCCACCACTTGTGCAAGCTCGTTTGACCGGCGAGGTGGAGAACGTCAAGGAAACAGCTCAGCTCGCTGAAAACTGGTTGCTGCAGGCTTCGACACGAAAGTCACGGCATTCAAATGGGAAGTGCGTGCATCGTCGTCCTGTCGTCTTCTTCCAGCGCAGTACTGCCCAACGGCATAGTTATGTCGGTTTAAGCTCAGTCAGATGACCAACTGCGGATTCCCAGGTACGAGCTAGAAGAGACGAGGCTGCAGCTAAAATGCAAATCGAGTTCCCACTTTTGGGGACGATCGAGCAGATCCTCCCTGTGCACGACATCACGACTGGCGGCGCAAGGCGCAGCTCAGTGTGCACTGCTGCTTGTAGATGCAGCGCTCGAAGCTCAGCAAGTTGCCAACGCTGTGTTTACTGGCAGTAGTACCACCTCACTGACACATTCTTGACAGGTCGTCGAATGCAGCACATTCGACACTCTGCTTGGTAAATTGCGTAGCCGCTACATGTAGCCTGCAGTCTCATTTCTCCTGATGTCCATGACCGAATTGAAACCATCCCGAAGCTTCTTGAGGCTCGGTCCACACCAAAGGTTGATCTTGCGAATTGGTCGGCTTCCATCGGAGCTCTCCTTTTCTTCTGGCCTTGAGGACTGCCTTTCAGGGTGCAGCATTTCGACTGAAATCGTTTGCAGGATGACTGGATGACTTGAGCCTCCTCATCCACGTACCAGCGCCTAGGCTTCAGCTCAGACTGGTTCAGGACTGGCCCAAGGCCAAGGCCAATTGGATAACTCCCATTGGGCAACTCCCAATGCCGGCGAAGAGTCTGCATCCACCACACGGCCCGAGTATCTTGTGACAGCGGTACCACTGTATGATGACCCGAACTCAGCGTGATGTGGCAGCGGTCGTTCTGCACCTCGCAAGCAGCCAAGTGCAGAGGACGGTGTGGAGCTTGCCAATAAAGTCAAGAAGAGGTAAGCTAAGAACCAGATAGATGCAGCGGTACGCATCGCACCAACCGCCCTGCAGGCCGGAGAGTGCTACAGAAAGCGCCGGCCTCAGCGTTAAGCCAAGCTTCGTATCTCGCTGCGGCCTATCACTCGCTACCCACACGCACGAGCTGCAAAGCACAAGCAACACAAGAGGAAAGTCTGACGGGTGCTGGGGATAGACATAATTGGAACAGGTAAGGCCAGCACGGCAAAGCCCAGGCGTCAGTCCAAGCCGATGGAGCGCTGTGAACCTGGACTTCATCTTTGCCGGTGAGCGTTGAGAATCCAGCCGAATCTAGCACAACTCTGCCTGCGCTGCTTGCGTAGTGCCAGCAGGGCAGAAGACAGGCGCGTCTGGATCCAACCTCCACAATGGGTATTGTACAAGATGTGGAAGACATGACCAGAAGTAGAGATACTGAGATCCCGTGCTGACGCTTCAGGCCCGGAAAAAGATCTGCCAGAAGACGAGGCCTCAGTGGAAGACTCTGTTGCGGTGTGCCGGCTGTACCTCTGCCAAGACTGCAGACGCAACTGCAGCAGACTTCCATTCGGGTCCTTTTTCCTGCTCATGTTTGCCGCTTACACGTGTTTCCGGCCCTCGCCAGAATGAAACGCCATGAAACGGGAAACAGAGCAGCTTATTGCTCTTCAGTGCTCTTTGGCAACTGACGGAAACACAAAAGAATTTGTTGCTGCGACGCTCCTCCTGCGTGATGTCCCTGATGTCAAGAGACGGCACTGTGCACGTCTGCTACATCACCGCAAGCGCATCTGAAAGTGCGCCCTCCAAACGATCAAAGATCTCATCGACCTCTGCAGAGCTCACCTCACGTCCCACATTGCTTGCGAACTTTCGAGCAAATTGCCCTGGCGCTTGAATCCCTACTGAGGCGGCCACAATGAGTGGGGGGCAAATGGATACAACATCATTGGGAAGCACCCGGACAATAAGCCCACGTTCCAAAGCGAACTGCACGACTTTGGCCGCCATGGCGCCTGAGAACACAAGCAGCTGTGAGAATCTGCAAACTCGAAGCGTCGTTGAAAGATCTGCCAAGATGCGGCTGGCATCAAAAGGCTGCTTGGTTTCCTTCTCCTTCACGAGCTCAATGGCACCGATGAGGCCTTGCAAATTGAATGAGGTCATGTCGGAAACGCCTTCACGGATGCGACCGCGACACCGATCCCTCGTGCATCGCCGACCAAGGGGTGCCTAGGTCAAGGCAAGTCGGGACCTTGCCTTTTTGTCGGAATACGCTTTCCGTGCTTGTAAGTTGCTCTCCGAGACCACGGAGGCGCCGCTGGAATTGAGGGGCTAGCTGCACCACCCGCCTAGTCCGCTTCGCATCAACATGAGACGTGCGAGAAGCAGACCCTTCTGCCAGGCTGCTCCAGCAGTTGTTCCCGCTCGTAAATCTCGAGCAGCTTCAGTGCAACTGCCGCGCCAGGGTCTGACTAAGACATCCTTCTGCTTTGCGCGCCGTGCCGCGATGTGTGCCGCGACGTGCTCCCCGCCCGGCCTGCACAGGACACGGGATGCCCCGTGTAGGTGTAGCCGTGCCCGAAGACTCCGCCTGCGAGTCTCCAGCGAGGCGAGTCTGTCTCAGTCTCAGTTTCCGCAACCTTCCTTGGCCCTTTCTGCCTCGACTCTCCGTGGAGGCTTCGATCGCATCGTACATGAAACGCGGGAGGATGGCAGCCTAACCACAAGCTCACGCTCCGAAGAGAGCGGCAGCTTAGCGACGTGCAGGCAATCTCGGTCCAGTCCGAGTCACACTGAGTGGCACGTACCCTGAGGTAAGCTGCTTGGCACAGCTCAGCAAATCCACGGTCTGCTGAAAGGCAGTACAGCCCCACATTTTGCCGGTTCGGCCAAAGCCGGTGATGACTTCGTCACCCACCACCATGACGTCGTACCTGAAAGCTTGACTGGGGGTTGGGGCAAGCTGTGCTTCCGCCCCGCTTATTGATCCTGCACCCGCCTCTCGCAGACCTCTCGCATGGCCGGGAAGTAACCGGAAGGCCTCTGCAGCGATTCAAACTCGGCGAATGTGGCCGGAGTCCATTGTGCGACAAGGTGCGGCAGTATCACACCTCCGGCCCCTTGCAAGGGCTCGGCGAAGAAGGCAGCGACCTCGGGAACAGCAATGGGCATCAGAATTCAATCTCGCAGAACTCCGGCCTGGTCGGGTCCCTCTGCGATGATCAGCTCCTCGAGCTCCGCGGCCAGGCGTCGCACGAAGTCGGCCTCCGACTCGCCGTCTCGGCCATAGCCTCGCGGGCACGCAAGCTCCGAACTTCCTCCCCTCATGCCATGCAGGCGAGCGGCGATAGAAGGAGGGGCAGCTGACGTGCCGCACAAAGTCGAGCGGAAGCCCCATCTGCGCGTGGACGTGCGGGAGGCCGGTGATGGAACCACTGGCGACGGTGACCTCGGCTGCAAGCCCAAATGTGCCCATCGCCTGATTGTGCTGACAGGCTCGCACATGACGAAGTAAACATTGTCCACTGTAAATGGCATGTGCTTCTTTCTTTTGCCAAAAGGGACCCCATGGTAGCCATGGACTCTGCCGATGATCTTTCGCTTCTGTGGCAAACCTCTGACGGTGTTGTAGTGCCAGAGCAGCCGGACCTGCCTTGGACCAGGCCAGGCATGGCCAGACCACACCGCGTGCGACGCACACACGACGCGTGCGATGCGCGCGCTCCGAGTCTGCACTCTGTCTGCGTTGCAAGCTGCGTGTCATTGGCATCCGACCCGGACATTCCGAAGAACACCTTGCCGCCCTGCAGCGTGTCCGGAGCCAAGCTAATGAGCTTGTCGGCGAGCTCCTGAAGCAGTGCTTAAACTCAACCTGGCCTTGGCTCACATGCAAGGTATCTCACCCAACCCCCCATCCCGAGCGTTTGGGGGCGCGTGCATGGAACCAGCTTTCCCATGGTGTGTCGCGACAAGACAAAATAATTCCCATGTAAATCGACGTATCAGGCATCCAGCGCGATTCGATACATGTGGAGGTGCCGAAAGTGGAGTCCGAGCGTCCGAGCATGGCTCGTTACAGTACTTCGCGCTACTTCGTAGTGCCAGTTACATCGTTGCAGCGAAGGGAGTCCCACGAGCGGATCATCGACATGAGCGCTGCTCGAGGACTCTGCTCTATTTGCATCGCACATGCTCCGACACGGGGGGCATTCACAGGAGTCCTCTGCGATGGGAACCTGTCTGCCTGCGAAGCAGTGGTAGTAGGACAAGTTCCTGGGCCGCTTCTCAACACTCCGACTCCTGACATTTTGTCGTGAGCCGGCTGCGCCTCATTTGGCGTGTAGCTGCATCCACCAACTCTTCATGGCCCCAGCCGAGAGCTGTGCACCACAGCCCGGCCATGGCCTGCGAGCAAGGCGAGTGCCATGGGAATGGGAGCCGAATTGAACAGTCAAAAGATGAGACCTAGGGACCTAGAGGTCGCTTCTCATGCCGTCGGGTCTCTTCGAGGTATTCCTTCCCCGTATCATCGTAGACTTTAGCACCCTTGCCCGCCACGATGCGCAAGGGCTGGCCTGGCAGACGGGAGACGTCCCTCAGGGCGCCCTCAGGGCGAAGTGTCTGTCAGCTTCTTGCAGACCAGGCATCTCCCACGAAGGGATGAGAGGTTCGTCATTGGATAAAGCACAGAGCTCTGCGTGGCAGTTGCGAGGCGCCGCATTCCACGGAGGCTGCGGGGAACAAGCGCCATCCTACTAGCGGCTAGCGGCCACAAAAGTCCAAACTTGCTCAGAGCTACAAGCAGTTACAATGCCTTTGCACAACGCTTCAGAACTTCTTGGGCTTCCATGTCCATGGCGGTGAAGCCACAACAGGTTTGGCGGAAAGCTCTGATTGCATGAAGCTGTCGCGATCAGAGTCTTGGCGGGCGGCATGTCGAAGTCATCTTGGTCCCTGGAGGACACGAGGTAAAGACCTGGGTCACACTGCAAAGCCTCGGAATGCTAGCCACTGACCTAAGACTTGGGATCCGGCTTGTGGTTTCCACTTTGTGGGTTTTCTCCAAGTCCTCTCTGATTTGCTTCAAAGTCTCCTGCTTCTCCACAAAGTTGTCCTGCTGGAGCTGCTGCAGGGGCAGAGAATCTGAGCTGCTTGGACTCTCAGACCACTACCGCCATGTGCAGACGGGATTCCTCCTTGTTGTTGGCAATGTCCTGATCCACCTGAGCAGGCGGGCTCAGTATGAGATGGCGGCAATGCAAGAGCCTTTAGCTGCCTTGGTCCGAACCATGCGATACGGGACTCCGTGGCGCTCCAGTTCACCACGGAGTGCCTCCTGAGCTGCCAATGCCTACAGCTGCAAATTGTGCCACAGGCCCTTGCCTCCGCCCTGCCTCCATCTCTGTGAACCGTCCAGCTGTCACCACCACCACCTCGTCGAAGTATCGCAGCCCCATGTCCTACAGGACGTAAAGACTGTGGCCTTCATGCCATGCCCAATGGCAGCAGAGCGCATGCAGCGCAAGGGCATGAAAATCCTGCAGATACGTCTCAGCAGGGACGGCCGCCGTTCCAGCGCCCGGAAGGTCCCAGAGGCGGACCAGCGGACTCGGCCACAGCTGCTCAAGAGCTGCATGCAGTCCCCGGTTTCTGAGGTATGTGCTGATTTGGATACGGATACCTTCCAGGACACAAGAGGTTTGCTGCACAAAAGGCTTGGAAGAATCCTCTGAGACTGGTGCATGGTGGGCACTCTCGTCGTCTCGTTCACCCCGACGGCAGCCCATCCCTCTGCTTGCGGCCGTAGCTTCCGCAGCCTCCGTGCAGATCGACAGCGTTCGAACGGTATCCGAAGCACTGGGGCTGCCGTGCCTGTTAATCAGAAGGGACTTGCCGACACCAGAGTTGCCCACGACCGCGATGTTGATGCAATCCTCAACCTTCTCCTGGCCACAGGCGACAACGCATCAAGTGCCGGCGGGTGCTCTGAAGGAACCGTGCCGGGCACTCGAGCCATGAGGGGCGAGGCACGTGCACATTCGGGTTTATGGGGGGGAGGGATGGGGGGCGCAATGGCGCCGACGGGTTTGTTCCGGGGCAGTCGCAGGCTGCGGATAATTCCTTCTCGCCTCTTCACGCTTTCTCTGAGCCTGTCTCTCGGCCTGCTTCGATTCTCAGAATAGGCCGCTGCATGACATGACTGCTCCTCTGCGCAAGCCTCCAGCTCTGCCTCTCTTCTCTCGAGGTCTTTGGCCTTTGCTCGGACTTCCTGCTCCAGGACGAAAAGCTGGCAAAATTGCATGGACGAGCGAACCTTTTTGTCAGACTTGTTGGGGTAGGGGTGTCAAAGTCCACCCGGCAGGCTCGCACAATCTACACTCGAAACCACTCATGACCTTTCATCACCGACCTCCTGGACTCTGGCTAGCCCTTGGCACATCAACAAGGGGCCTCCTTTTCTGCTCCAAGTTGCTCTCGCTCCTGTCATGTTCGGACCAGGAAAGCTAAAGCGTACCGGGGTGCGGTAACAGGTAACACATGCACTTGTCAGTACAAGCTGTACCGAAGACAGTTCGGAATGACACTGCTGTGCCGTGAATCAAACCGCAAGCCGAAAGAAATGCTCGGATGTCCTGCCTTGGAAAACTGTTCTTGCAGGGAGGCTAGCTCCATGACCAGGGCATTCAAGCGCTGGGATTCCTGCAGCAGAGGTATGGTGCAGCGTCGCCCGACCCCCCCCCCCCTCCCCCCCCCAATGGTATCCCCCCCTACCCCCCTCCTCTCCCGAATTATGCTTCCCTTCATCTGGCCCTGACCCCCCACCGCCCCCGCTGTAAAACTGGGTGGCTCATGCTGGCCCTGGCCCCCCCTGTGGTGTGGTCGTGGGTTTTGGGTTGTTTGAACCCGCCTCCCCCTGTGGTGTGGTGGTGGGTTGTGGGTTTCCGGTTTAGGATTTAACCCCCCTCTCGCCCCCTGTGGTGTGGAGTGGTGTGGTGTGGTGTTGCGTGTTGTGTTCAGGGTTTCGGGTTTGCACTCGCACCCCCCCTTGTGGTGTGGGTGATGGGGTTGTTTCGGGTTTAGGTGCATAGATATGAAGGGTTTAGGGTTGAGGATCCGCAGCTGGGCGCAGCGCAGACCGAAACCATGGCCCCTCCAGGTCCTCAGGTGAGTGTCGCCACTTTGGACACCACAAATTGCATAGCTTCAGAAGTCGCAACACTCACGAGGATCGTGCGCTCGGGCGGCCCGTCCCTGTGACTGTTGGCACTTTTGAGACAAAGTGACGACCCTCACGAGGATTTTGGGTGCTTCGCCGCGGCCCCCTGTGGGCAGTGGGCGGCCTCATGCTGTCCCACGCCCCGGCTGTGGTCGTGGGTTTTGGGTTGTTTAACCCCCCTCGTCCCCCTGTGGCATGGGGGTGGGTGTTGGGTTTAAGATTTAGAGTTTGCGCCCGCACCCCCCTGTGGTGTGGCAGTGGGTGGTGGGATCGTTTCGGGTTTTGGTGCATAGATATGAAGGGTTTAGGGTTGAGAATCCGCAGCTGGGCGCAGCGCAGACCGAAACCATGGCCCCTCCAGGTCCTCAGTTGAGTGTCGCCACTTTGGACACCACAAATTGCATAGCTTCAGAAGTCGCAACACTCACGAGGATCGTGCGTTCGGGCGGCCCGTCCCTGTGACTGTTGGCACTTTTGAGACAAAGTGACGACCCTCACGAGGATTTTGGGTGCTTCGCCGCGGCCCCCTGTGGGCAGTGGGCGGCCTCATGCTGTCTCACGCCCCGGCTGTGGTCGTGGGTTTTGGGTTGTTTCACCCCCCTCGTCCCCCTGTGGCATGGGGGTGGGTGTTGGGTTTAAGGTTTAGAGTTTGCGCCCGCACCCCGCTGTGGTGTGGCAGTGGGTGGTGGGA